GATGGCCCAACTAAACGCAGACTGAATCGAGGGTTTATGGGTGACTTAATATTTTCTTAATTCAGTTACAGTGTTAATAGTTCTTTGTAAGAGTGGGCAAGTGAAAAGTTTTATTTGATCTGAGAAGTTTCACACAACATTATGCATTTGTCTCCCTCCCAGCTCCTGCTCGCACTCCATCTTTGTAAAGTACAATTTTTTTTATGCCCAAAACTGAACATGAGATCTGACCAGCACTCTATCTAACTGGTGAGCAATTCCTGGCCTCCAGATTCTCAACCTCCGGTTATAAAGCCCAGAATCTTATTTGCTTTATTGATTGCTTTCTGCACCTGTGATTTATGGACTTGATGCCAAGTGTTCAAGATCCTCGATCTCACTTTTAAAGCCCTCCACGGTCTTGCCTCATCCTACCTCTGTGATCTTCTAAAACCGTACCAGCTCTCCACTCGGCGTACCCGCCCTGCTTGCCCACCAATGGCAGTCAGACTGCTCCACCTCTGGAACTCCAGGCTTTTGATAAAGTGCCACATAATAGACTTGTTAAAAAAATTGAAGCCCACAGTATTAAAGGGAGAGTGGCAGCATGGATACAAAACTGGCTTGGAGACAGAAAGCAGAGAGTTGTGGTGAATGGTTGTTTCTCAGACTAGAAGGAAGTATACAATGTCCTCCAGGGGCTGGCATTGGGACCACTGCTGTTTTTGATCTATGTAAATGACCTGGACTTGGGTATAGGGTGTACAATCTCCAAGTTTGCAGATGATACAAAGTTACGAAAAGTAGTAAACGATGTGGGGAATAATAGCAGACTGCAAGGGGACATAGACAGAATGGTAAAATGGTAAAACGCAGACACGTGGCAGATGAAATTTAATGTGGAGAAATGCAAAGTGATACATTTTGGGAAGAATAATGAGGAGAGGTAATATAAACTGATGGTACAATCTAAAACGGGGTGTAGGAACAGAGAGACCTGGGGGTCTACATAAGCAAATCTTTGAAGGTGGTAGGACAGGTAGATAAAGCGGTTAAAAAAGCATACAGGTCACTCGTCGTTATAAATAGGGAGGAATCCAAAAGTAAGGAGGTTATGATAATCCTTTATAAAACACTGGTTTGGCCTCAGCTAGAGTACTGTGTACAGTTCTGGGCATCGCACTTTAGGACGAATGTCAAAGCATTGGAGAGGGTGCAAAGGAGATTTACCAGAATGGTACAAGGAATGAGGGACTTCAGTTATGAGGAGAGGTTGAGAAGCCGGGATTATTCTGGAGCAGAAAAGATTAAGGGGAGGTTTAATAGAGATGTTCAAAATTATGAGGGAATTCGACAGGGTGAACTGGGATAAACTGTTTCCACCGGCGAGTGGGCAGTAACCAGAGGACACAACAACAACAAGATTACATTTGTACAGCGCCTTTCATGTCGGGAGGACGTCCCAAGGCGCTGGACAGTGTACAGCATTTCAGACCCGAGCTGGGGTCAGGGAGGGAGAAGGGAGGGGACGGGAAGGGGGTGACCAATGGCATGGTCGAAGAGGAGGGTTTTGAGGCGGGACTTGAAGGAGGCTAAGGAGGGGACGAGGCGGAGTGACTGGGGGATGGAGTTCCAGAGGTTGGGGGCAGAGTGGCTGAAGGCTCTCCCGGCAATGGTGGGGCAGGTGGGTCGGGGGACATGGAGCAAGCCGGAGCCGGCTGAGCGGACAGATTGGTAGGGGGTTAGGAGGTTACAGAGATAGGGTAGGACGAGACAACTGAGGGCTTTTTTTAGGTGAGGACCGGGATTTTGAACTGGATCCTCTGAAGGATAGGGAGCCAATGGAGTCGGGCAAGAGTGGGGGAGATGGGGTCATGGAGTTTGGTGCGGGAGAGGACATGGACTGCAGAGGCAGAGAGATAGAGTTGGGTGTCGTCCGCATACATGTGGAAGTTGACCGAATGTTGGCGGATGATGTCACAATGAGGGAATATGTAGATATTTGAGGATAGCACTAAGGACAGAGCCCTGAGGAACTGGGACAGTATGTGGGTTACACTCACTCGTCTAAAGGTCGGGAGCATTCTTGTGGTGGGAATACTGCTAACACGTGCAAATTTGATTAGATTTGGGGTATAATTGAGGGTGTTATAGGCAGTGTCAGTGAGATGCGGATTGGGCAATTCCCAGCTGCCTGATGCACTCCCAGCACATACGGTAACTGATCACTACTTATTTCTTGAAAATCTGGTCGCTTACAGTATCGCTTCGTGATGTGATAGGTCTTTGCTTTTTGTATAATCATTGAACTTTAATAAAGGAAACAATTGTTTAACATCAAAATTGCACGCCCGATATTTCATCATTAATTAAATAATGATTCAGTTTAGGGTGTTGGAAGCCGAGGCTGTTGCAAGACCCGGCCGGGATAGGCTGAATGGAAGAACTAATGCAGGAATCGATTGCGTGTGCCAGAGTGAATGATTTGTTTGTGGACACTGCACACAGGGATGAGCGCTGGGAGCATTGTGTAAAGCAGCATTAAAGAATTGCTTCAAGAGAAGAAGTTAGATAAGGAGAGGAAGACGCCACTGCCACTGAAGGAGATCGTTCTGTCAACACATGTTTGACATACGTTAAGCTGTCACCATCTTTGTGATCAAATCTTTGGTGTCCAAACTATGAGTGTTAGTTGTATGTACAGTATAACAGTTTATCAATGTGGTTTTCATTGAATAAAGTACTGACATCATTTTACATAAGAACATAAGAAACGCTTGATCCAAAAGACCAAGGTCCATCCAGTTCAGATGCACATATATCCCAAACTACCTATGTACTACATCCCAGAATTTTATTTCCTAAAAGAAAACTATCTAATCTGTGTTTGAAAGAATCCTCACTTCCTGCTTCAACCATCTCCCTAGGGAGCCTGTTCCACAGGTTCACTGTTCGCTCACTGAAATAGTGTTCACGTAGATTCGTTCTGAATTTATCCCACTTCAATTTTGAGGTTCTGCTGGCCAGTCTCACTGTATTACATCCTCAGGAACTCTAAAATTTACAGATTGGCACCCGAACAGGGAGTTGAACCCTGGACCTTCAGATTAATAGTCTGTCACCACAATGTGCAATAAAACATCGGCATATCTATACCTTTTAACCGACTGGACTGAAAGGTTCTGTTTCATGATGAACAGACTACGGCACTACCTCACCCCTCACGCTGCTGAAACTCTGGTCCACGCCTTTATCACCTCAAGGCTGGACTATGGGAACTCTTTCCTCGCCAGCCTTCCCGGCACCTCCCTCCACACTGCAGGTCATTCAGAACTCTGCAGCTCGTGCACTGTCCCACACCAGGTTTCGCGACCACATCACTCCCAGCCTCGCTCGCCTCCACTGGCTCCCCATCCCCCAGAGGATCGAATTCAAGATCCTCATCCTCACCTACAAGGCCATTCCCGGCCTCGCTCCCTCCTACCTCTCCGACCTACTATCCCCCTACTTACCTGCCCGTACCCTCCGTTCCTCTGGCTCCGGTCTGCTCCACATCCCCCGCCCCAACCGCCCTACTATCGGTGGCCGGGCCTTCAGCCTCTCAGCCCCTAGGCTCTGGAACTCTATCCCCCAGTGCCTTCGCCGCCTCCTCCCTTTCCTCCTTCAAGGCCGGTCTCAAGACCTTTCTCTTTGACGGTGCCTTCAGCTCCCCTCTCGACTCTCTACCCCCTCCTCGCTCCCTCCCTTCCCTCCCCTCACCCTAACCATTTCCCCCTTACTCGGGTCCTGACCCAACTGTACAGCGCCTTGGGACGTCCTCCCAACGTGAAAGGCACTCAATAAATGGAATCTTGTTGTTGTTGTTGTTGAACAAACAGAGACTTTCAAATCAATTGCGCATATGCAAACAGCAAGACAGGAATACCTCAACAGATTCGGACATTTCGCTGATTTAAAAGGGCAAACACTCAAATTGCTAGTGATTTCTGTATGATGAGGTTTGCAGAAGTTTTAAATCAAAAATTGTAACGCGTTTCATTTTAATGTACCCTTACTGCAGTTTTAATATAACCTTACTGCTTTGATACAATAATATAGTTTTTGATATAACATTAAGATAGTTTCAATATTGTTCAATATGTAATGATTAAGATGTATAATTATGATAATTGATGTAAAAGCTATGTGGTCAGTTATCTTGATCTACCAGCAGAAGGCAACTAGATTAGTAAAAGGTAACGGGGATTGACAGTGATAAATTAGTCAGGCGTGATAAATTCAATTGGAAAATGAGACTTAACAATTGGAGACTCTAAAGTGAACAAGAGACGATCAGCAATGGAGCAGCACAATTGAGTACAACAATGTTCAACAAAATAGCCATGAAATGAATGATCAAGTCCCAGCAAAGCCACTCGCCCGACAACAAATCTCCACCACAACTCTTCCACCTCAGCAATCCCAGTCACAATGGTGGTGGGGGAGAAACATCCAGACAGATTGACAGCAGTGTGGACCAATGGCAGTCCACCAATCAGAATAGAATTCAGTTGAATTTCACTGCATTGTACAGTGAGGAAATGCGCTCACTCCTCCAGCTGACACCACAGGAGATTGATACTGTCCTGATATAACCTATAATTGGTGGTGTTATGATTTCCTAAAATTTTGTGTAGTTTTATTTTAGCTGCTGCGATTTGTACTCTTTTTGAATAGAACTGTGAGGTAACCCTCCTAAAGGAAGGTGCTTTATGAAATAAAATTAGTATTTTTGATACTCAAACTCTTATCATAACTAAATGGATCAAAGCCTTTCTACTTTAGTACTCGTATTCCTCCAAAGTATAGGATTTTCAGTTCTTTGTGTTGCCTCAGTAAGCTATAGGGAAGCACAATCGTTTTTTTTTAATGACAAAATTTGAGAACCCCTGCATGACATGGCATGCATCAGGCGCTACACTGCTGTGCCAACGTCACAAGACAATGTGCTGTTCATCTGGTTTCAGAACTTCTGTACTTACTTGGCTTCAAAATCATCTTGCGAAAGATTGTAAAAGAATTCATCAAAAAGGTTGTAATCTTCAACTATTTTGTTTGTTATCTCCTGAAAGCAAAGAACGAGAAAATCATTTTCAAGAGGAAAAATAATAAGAGATTATCTCTACTGCTTAGAAAATCGACACATTAAAACCCAAACACAGTATTGTTGGTGTAAGTAATGTACAAATTTAGAAAATGAATGAGACCATTCAGCCCATAGAGTCTATTGTCTTCTAAGATTATGAAAGATCCTTTAATCCCATTTCCTTGCCTTTTGCCCATGCCCAAAATCTTTACCTCGTAGGTATCCAACTGCCTTCTTCACGCAGGGTAGCTCTAAGATGCGTGAAGGGCGCTATAGAAATGCAAGTTGTTGTTTTTAACCAATTGACTTTTCTCCCAGGAGGGGGGTGGCATGGGGAGAAATGGGGCTAAGTAAAGCGGGGTATCCTTGGAACTGAACTAGGTGACATGCCTGCAGTGGATTGTCAGAAGCAGTCACTAGACCTGTTCCTGAGCTAGGTGGGTCCACAGTACTTCAGCGCGCTGCTGATGACAGCACAGCCAGCCTGGCTCATCGGCAGGACATAGAAGGAGAGACCAGGCACTGGGGCCAGGGATTCCTAATGGGTAGGGTGGTCCTAGCTGGACAAGCAGCGAGAAAGCTTGCCAGACATTGCTATTAATGGTAAGCTATGCGGTTTCAGCTGGTTAAAACTCCCGCAGTACCCAAAACCATATACTGGAATCTCCAAAAGTTGGCTCTTGCCAACCTACACCTAATACTCTCCAGAATTAAGTAAACGTGATGTGACCCTCTAGGGAGAGAATGAACATTTCATTCCAATACACAGGAATTTCCATGTGTAAATGGGATGCTTGGAAACCAGCAGGCCAAAAACAATTCCCAAGTACAAATTTACTGGTGCTGTGGACAGTATGGATTATACCCAGCCTCTCACTGTTGCTAAGCCCCTTCAAACAAAGTGATTCACAGCTGGACACCATCCAAGACTAATATATTCCTAAATTTCAGCACACAAACCTTAACATAATAATCCAAATAAGGTCTTATCAGCTCTATATATAACACAGCTATATAATATATATATACACAGGGAGTAGCATTTCCTTGTATCCCATTAGCTGTATTGATTGTTTTCTGCACCTGCAAACTAGATTTTAATGATTTATAGACTTGTACCCTTAGATACATTAGTGGACACTGAAAACTTAGCGAAAATAGAGGGGAAACTGGAGGCTGATGTTAGTGAGGAACTTAAAGAAATGAACATCAGTAAAACAATAGTAATACTAGAGAAATTGATAGGATTAAAAACGATAAATCCCCTGGACCTGATGGCTTGCATTCTAAGGTTTTAAAAGAGGTGGCTCCAGAGATAGAGGATGCTTTGCTTTTGATCTTCCAAAATTCCCTGGATTCTGGAACAGTTCCCATTGATTGGAAGGTCGCAAACGTAATGCCGCTATTTAAGAAGGGTGGGAGCCAAAAAATGGGGAACTATAGACCAGTTAGTCTGACATTGGTGGTAGGGAAAATTCTAGAGTCCTTAAGTAGGGATGTCGTCGTGGGGTACTTAGAAAATCATAACATGATTAGGCAGTCAACATGGCTTTACGAAAGGGAAATCATGTTTAACAAATCTTTTAGAGTTTTTTGAGGATGTAACTAGCTGGTTAGATAATAATAATAATAATAGTAATAATCCTTGCATTTGATATAGTGCTTTTCACGTCTTCTAGATGTCTCAAAGCGCTTCACAGAATATACTGTAATGTGAATTAACTGTATATTTGTGGGCAAAATGTGGCAGCCAAATTGTGCACAGCAGTGTCCCACAAACAGTCATGGATTGAATTGACCAATTTATTATTGTTTTTTTTTCTTGAAGGATTATTATCAGGTGTGTGGAGTAAGGAAACTTGCCCAAGGTTTCGCCCTGCCGGGAATCAAACCCAGGTCTCTCGCTTGAGAGGCAAGCGCTCTAACCACTGAGCTACAGGACTCCAAATAGGGGGGAACCAGTAGATGTGGTGTATTTGGATTTCCAGAAGGCATTCGAGAAGGTGCCACATAAAAGCTGTTGCATAAGATTAGAGCCCATGGAATTGAAGATAATATATTAGCATGGATTGGAGAGTGGCTAAAAGGAAGAAAGCAGAGAGTAGGAATAAACGGGTCCTTCTCAGATTGGCAGGATGTGCCACGAGGATCAGTGCTTAGGCCTCAATTATTTACAGTCTAAATCAATGATTTAGATGAGGAAATAGAACTTAACATATCTAAATTTGCGGATGATATAAAGGTAGATGGGAGAGTAAGCTGTGAGGATGGCACAAGAAGAATGCAAAAGGAAATAGACAGGTTAGGTGAGTGGGCAAGAAGGTGGCAGATGGAGTATAACGTGGGGAAGTGTGAAGTTATTCACCTAGGTAGTAAAATCAGAAAAGCGAATTATTTTTTAGAGGGGGAAGAGACTAGGTAGTGTTAGTGTTCAGAGGGAATTGGGTGTCCTTGTACACCAGTCACAAAAAGTTAGAATGCAGGTACAGCAAGCAACTAGGAAAGCTAATGCAATGCTGGCGTTCGTTGCAAAAGGGTTAGAGTACAAGAGTAGGGACGTCTTGCTGCAGTTGTATAAGGTCTTGGTAAGACCACACCTAAAATATTGCGTGCAGTTTTGGTCTCCTTATTTAAGAAAGGACTTACTCGCCTTAGAGGGGATGCAGCGTAGATTCATTAGGTTGGTTCCTGGGATGAGGGGAATTTGTGGAATTCTCTACCCCAGAAGGCTGTGGATGCTCAGTCCTTGAACATATTCAAGACTGAGGTTGATAGATTTCTAAATGATAGAGGGATTAACGGATATGGGGATAGGGAGGGTAAATGGAATTAGGTTAGAAGATCAGCCATGATCTTATTAAATGGCGGGGCAGGCTCGAGGGACGGAATGGTCTACTCCTACTCCTACGTCTTATGGTCTTATACCTTTACTCACATTCTACTTTGAGTGCTTCCCCATTCAAATATATTCCGATCTACTATTCTTATCCATCTACTATGGAATGGTAGATGGAATTTAATGCAGAGAAATGTGAAGTGATTTTGAGAGGAGGAATGAGGGGAGACAATATAAGATAAATAGTACAATTTTAAAGTGGGTGCAGGAACAGAGAGACCTGGGGGTTCACATACACAAATCTTTGAAGGTGGCAGGACAAGTTAACAAAGCGGTTAAAAAAGCATATGGGATCCGTGGCTTTATAGAGACATAAAGTATAAGCGCAAGGAAGTTATGTTGAACTTTTACAAGTTAGCTTGTTGGGCCTCAGCTGGAGTGCCAAATTCTGGACATCACACTTTAGGAATGATGACAGGACCTTGTAGAGGGTGCAGAGAAGATTTACCAGGGATGAGTGATTACAATTCTGTGGAGACACTAGAGAGGCTGGGATTATTCTCCTTAAAGCAGAGAAGGTTAAGGGGAGATCTGATAGAGGTGTTCAACATTATGAGGAGTTTTGATAAGAGTAGATCGGGAGAAACTGTTTCCTATGGCGGATGTGTCAGTAAACAAAGGACACAAATTTAAAATAATTGACAAACGTTTTTACCCAGAGAGTTGTTAAGGTCTAGAATACCCTTCTATTAAGGGTGGTGGAAGCAGATTTGATAAAAGCTTTCAAAAGGTAATTAGATAGGTACTTAATTTGCACAGCTGGTTGGTATCACTTTCAAAAAGCCGGCACAGGCACGATGGGCTGAATGGCCTCCTTCTGTGCTGTAAAACAAGACCAAGGCTCTCCTGATTGGCTACCATCAGCACCTCCACACCTCAGGCGCTGACAGCATCACCGTCCATGATTGCACACTCAACTTTACGAAGCCAGTCCAGAACCTTCACATCTTGTTTGACCCTCAACTATCCTTTCTACCCCACATCTCTGCCATGACCTGCTCTGCCGTCCCCCACCTCCGCAACATCACCCGTCTCCGCCACTGTCTCACACCACAGGCCGCCAAAACCCTCATTACCGCTTTCATTACATCAAGGCCCAACTATGCAAACTCCCTGCATGTCAGTCTCCCCAACTCCTCCCTCCACAGGCTGCAGATCATCCAGAACTCTGCAGCCCGCGTCCTCTCCCGCACCAGGCTCTGTGACCCTATCACCCACATCCTCGCCCGACTCCACTGGCTTCCCATCACACAGAAGATACAGTTCAAGATCCTGGTCCTCACCTTCAAAGACCTCCGTGGTCTTGCTCCCCACTACCTCTGCGATCTCCTAACCCCCTCACCATCCTGCCCGCTCCCTCCGCTCAGCGTGCTCTGGCCTGCTTCACGTCCCCCGCCTCACTCGCCCCACCTTCTGCCACTCTGCCCCCACCCTCTGGAACTCAATCCCGTAGTCCCTCCGCCTCGCCCCTTCCCTTACCTCTTTCAAGACCCATCTCAAGACCCTCCTCTTCAACCGTGCTTTCGATCACCCTGCTTCACCCCCCCGCCTTCCATCCTCCCCGATCCTGACCCCCAGCTCGGGTCCAAAACTAACTGTCCAGTGCCTTGGGATGTCCTTCTGATGTGAAAGGCACTATATAAATGTAATTTTGTTGTTGTTACACTTTTCTGCTCTCTAATCTGTAGATCACAGTTCACTATCATCCGCAAATGTGGATACATTCCTTTCTATCTGAGTTGTAACTATATTGGAGTGAAATTCACCATCTTTCATACACGTGCAATATTGTCATGGGCCTGGGCACTGGGTGTTAGGAACACCCTTGGGTCATAACTGAGAGGGGAGAGCCGAGGCTGTGCCATCTTAAAAGGGGTTACTTTTGCCACAGGTCTCTCTCCAAACAATTTAGTTGGGGGCGGGGGATACAGGATCCTGACTGTGCCCGTCTCCAGGACTGGGTTGTGCAAAGAGCGTGGCGCGTCACTGTTGGCTGCTGAGTTATCCCTCTTCTCTACTAAACGTGTGGTGTTTTGTCATGGTCACCCAATTCTTGCAGTCTTTTGTAACATGTAAATAATACATATGTATAACTGTATAAAATTATTTAAGGGAAATGGGGAATCCTGCCCCTTTAAATGGGTTGTGTAAGATTCCAGTTGCAGAAGCTGTTTGCAGGAGAGTTAGCAAGCAGCCTACACAAGTTTGTAACTAAGTTTGGGTCCAGGGCTGCATGATTGACAGTCAGCTGTCAAGCAGCCGCAGAGTAAAATAACATGTGGGTGCTGGTGCGGGAAAAAACCGTCGCAGTCGTATCATAAGGTGGGTGGAGCTACACGCCTATATAAAGCAATGCTCGGTGCTCCTCATGGTCGCTAACTAATGGTCGTCATCTGGTACATACTAATGTATCCATGGTACAGTTAGGGTTAGTTTAATATTTCTTTACTAATGCAGTGTTGTGCTGCCAGTTGTTACAGTTATGTGTGATTGTTATGTTTGATCCCATTGTTGTATATCTTCCATTGCTGTTTTCCTGTTGTTTCTAAATGAGTTTCTGTAGTATTCTAGACAAGAAAAGGAGTAAGCACTTCGGAGGGTGGTTGTCAACATCGGAGGTCTACAAGTGCAAGCAGACTTTGATTAGCGATTCCAGTTTGGGGTTAACTGGGAATGCCTGTTTGTTTGTGACTCTGACTTGGTTGAGTCACCTTTGAACTAGGGACTCAAACCGACAGGAGAAGAGAAGCAGAGGCCACTCAGTACGAAAAAGTTAATAAAATTTGCATGGACATCAAGGGGTGAGAACTGTCGCAGTTTGAACCTTGTTGGCGTGTCTCTGTATCTGCCTGTCCTGGATCAGTCATTTCTGATGGTCTGAAATGCTGCTTTTCAGGATGTTACATTCCGCTAATTCCAGGAAAATAAAAATAACACAAAAACATCATCTCATGCGCGAGTTGGGGAAACTGCCAGTGTGTAACCAGCTAAAACCACATATCTTCCCAAAGCACTGTCTGGCAAGCTTTTCCACTGCTTGTCCAGCTAGGATCACTCTACCTGTTACGGCTTTGGCTTGCAGGGTTAACAGGAGCTGAGTGGGATGACTCCCAGCCTGCAGTGACCAGTCTGCCTTCCAAGTCTTGCCGATGAGCCAGGCTGAGCTGGTCTGCCATCAACAGTGCCCTGGAAAACTGTGGACCTGCCTGGCTGAGGAACCGGACTATATTAATAATAACAAGATTTCATTTATAGAGCGCCTTTCACGTCGGGAGGACGTCCCAAGGCGCTGGACAGTTGGGTTAGGACCCGAGCAGGGGGGAAATGGTCAGGGTGAAGGGAGGGAAAGGAGGGAGCGAGGAGGGGGTAGAGAGTCGAGAGGGGAGCTGAAGGCACGGTCGAAGAGAAAGGTCTTGAGAAGCGGCGAAGGCACTGGGGGATGGAGTTCCAGAGCCTAGGGGCTGAGAGGCTGAAGGCCCGGCCACCGATGGTAGGGCGGTTAGGGCGGGGGATGTGGAGCAGGAACGGAGGGTACGGGCAGGTAAGTAGGGGGATAGTAGGTCAGAGAGGTAGGAGGGAGCAAGGCCGTGAATGGCCTTGTAGGTGAGGATGAGGATCTTGAATTCGATCCTCTGGGGGATGGGGAGCCAGTGGAGGCGAGCGAGGGTGGGAGTGATGTGGTTGCGAAGCCTGGTGCGGGGCAGGCAGTACACAAGCTGCTTTTGATGTAGCGCCTTATCACGTAATTGAGATGTCTCAAAGCGCTTCACAGAATATATTGTAAAGTGAATTGACTGTATATTTTGTGGATGAAAAACAGCAGCCAATTTCACACAGAAATGTCCCACAAATAGTCATGGATTGAGTGACCAAATTATTATTATTTAGCCAGCAACCAGCTTTTGTATAAGTGTGCAAAACATACAGTAAGCCAGTGTCTCCTCACTCTCCCCCCAGATTAGTCCCCACACCCCCTTCACTCTCCCCCAAGATCACTCCATCCCCTCCTGCTTTCATTCTCCCCGGGTCAGGGATCCCAGCTCCCAGACAGAGCAGCCTGTGACTGGAGACTGTCAAGAGGGTGGACTCGGTTCTGACGTTCCGTTGCCAAGCATGTCACCATGGAGTCAGTTAAACTCCAAGGAGATCCTGCTTACCTTTCCCTCCCAAGGATGATAGTCACCAGTTGGTCATTTGACATCTGATAAGTGCAAGTTTCATCTGACAAGTATAGATATGCAAGGCTATGGGAAGAGGGGAAGTAGGATTAATTTGGTTAGCTCTTTCAAGAGCTGGCACAGGCATGATGGGCTGAATGGCCTCCTTCTGCGCTGTATAATTCTATGATTCTAAGTGCAGGTTTAAGCCCTCACTAGATGGATGGCAGGTCCCAGAAACTTCCTGTGAGCTTCCTGGTTGGCAACCACAGCTCAGGATGAAACGTGTGAGAGCATTGCCACCATCTTCCTGCCCACAGCTTGGACACACAGTGCTACCAACTGACCTGCTGATACTCATGTTACAAATGCATACCAACTTCGTGATGCTAAAATAGCACAAAAATTCCTAATCTCAAATCAGATAAATCAGAGGGGAGTACTGAGCCTGATGAGAATTATGCAACAAAAATTTACATTTGCTGGTTGAATGATTGCATTAGAAAACACCACTCATGCAGCCATAGAGTGAAAAGCTGGGAAGGATAACATTTTTGGAAACATTTCATGAGAAGTGAAAGATTTCTAATTTGAGATGAGGGATACCCAGACCTACCTCTTTCTCTCGCAGCTGTTCAGGAACTCTCTTCATCCATTCCCGGTGTTCTGTCAGTTCTTCAATTGTGTTGGCCTTCTCATACAGCTTCCTATTAATCTCTCTGTACTCATCATTCATCTATAGGGCAGAAAGTGCACTGTATTCACTCATTCACAAGATCCTAAGTTTGGTTTAGCTGAAGAGGGCCCTTCAGCCCATTTGAACTCATACTATCAGAATACCCACCCTACCATCTCTTCCCACCGCAGCACCAAGCTGCTTTTTACAGGAGTCCTGTGTACTGGCCTCAAACACCTTTCCTGGTAACTATCGTTAATTACCCTATGTGGAAAGATCTTTGGTGTTTACCCTGAAAGTGGCTTTTTAACTCTAAACCCATGTCGTCTTGTTTTACTGTTTTGGTACATCCTAAAGTATTGTCCTGAGTTTACTTTTTAAATTTAAAATGTTATAAACTTCAGTGAGGTCCCCTCTGAGACATCTTCTCTTAAGACTAAAGAGCTTATCTAATTTTTTTTTTGATGAACGATGCCAGGCTCCTTCAACCAAATTAACCGAATCGTATTCCACGAGGGATGTCCAGGCAGACAAGCCCCTCCCCCAAACTCTCTAGGCCCCAAATTGCCAAAGGACAATGAGGACCTGAATTTGCATTCACAACCACCCGACCAAGTCAGGTGACGGGATGGCCTCTGCACAGGGCAAGCCCGGACTGAACCTAGTGACCAAGTGCTCAAGTGAGTTCTGCATTCCAGTATCTCCGCTTCCTCTGTGAGGGCAGATCACACTTCTCAGATCGGAAGTGCTGCAAGTTCATTGATGATATAACAGAGAGGGTTGATGAAGGTAGTACAGTTGATGTAGTGTATATGGACTTTCAGAAGGTGTTTGATAAGGTGCCACATAACAACAACAATAAAATGACATTTGCAGAGCACTTTTCACATCAGGAGGACCTCCCCTGGTGCTGGACAATCAGTGTTTCGGACCCGAGATGGGGGTCGAGATCAGGAAGGGTGGAGGACAGGGGGTGAAGGAGGGTGATCAAAGGTACGGTTAAAGAGGAAGGTCTTGAGACGGATCTTGGAGGAGGCAAGGGAGGGGGCGAGGTGGAGCGACTGCAGAATGGAGTTCCAGAGGGTGGATGCAGAGTGGCTGAAGGCCCGCCCACCAACGGCGGGGAACGTGAAGCAGGCTGGAGCCTGCTTCAGGTTTGTAGGGGATTAGGAGGTCGCAGAGGTAGGAGGGAGCAAATCCAAGGAGGGCTTTGAAGGTGGATCCAGGATCTTGAACTGTACCCTCAGTGTGATGGGAAGCCAGTGCAGTCGGGTGAGGATGGAGGTGATATGGTCAGAGCCTGGTGTGAGAGAGGACACAGGCTGCAAAGTTCTGGATGATCTGCAACCTGTGGAGGGAGGAGTTGGGGAGACCGACAAGTAGGGAGTTTTCATAGTCAATCTTGGATGTTATGAATGCATTTGTGAGGGTCTCGGCGGTCTGAGACACTGGCTTAGCGGGGCGATGTTTTTTAATCCTTGCATTTGATATAGCGCTTTTCACGTCGGGAGGATGTCCCAAAGCGCTTCACAGAACACACTGTAAAGTGAAATTGACTGTATATTTGTGGGCAAACGCGGCAGCCAATTGCGCACAGCAATGTCCCACAAACAGTCGTGGATTGAAAATGACCAATTTATTATTTTTTGGGTTTTTTTTTGGAGGGATTATTATTAGGCGTGTGGAGTAAGGAAAATTGCCCAAGGTTTCGCCCTGTCTGGAATTGAACTCAGGTCTCTCGCTTGCAAAGCGAGTGCTCTAACCACTGAGCTACAGGACTCCACAAAGGTGTTGCAAAGGTGGGGGAAAGTTATGTCACAAATGAGGGGTAGAAAGGATAGTTAAGAGTCAAAATAATACACCAAGGTTCCAGGGTGGATTGTGCATCCTTGGGCTTCAATTTTGCTAACAAGTCTATTATGTCCCTTTCCTTTTGAAAGTGATGCTGTCAGTCCTGAGGTATGGAGGCACTGATGGAAGCCAATCAAGAGAACCTCGGTCTTGTTAACGTTCAACTCTAGAAAGTTAGCTCTCATCCAGGTCTTGATATCTAACAGACATTCTGTCAGGACAGCAGTGGTCCTGGAGTCGAGTATTGAGGCAGAGCTATAGAGTTGGGGTCATTCACATACATGTGGAAGTTGACCCCATGTCTGCGGATGATGTCACCAGGAGGGAGCATATAGATATTGAAGAGGAGGGAACCAAGGACAGAGCCCTGAGGAATGCCACACGAGACGATGTGGGGCTATGGAAACCGTTTGTGGAGATGAAGTGGAGATGGTGTGAGAGGTAGGATCTGAACCATTCAAGAACAGAACCATGAAGGTTGAGGTGAGAGTAGAGGCAGTGGAGGAAGATAAAGTGGTCAACAGTATCGAAAGCGGCAGAGAGGTCACAGTGGATGAGGAGGCAGAGGGAGCCCTGGTCGCAGATGGACAACATGTCATTTGTCACTTTGACCAAAATGTCATTTGTCAGTATACGCAGCATGAAAACCAATTGGAGAGGTTCGTGAAGGGGGTGGCGAGAGTGGAAGGAGCGAAGCTGGGAAGCAACAACTCATTCCAGGACCTTCGAAAGGTAAGGGACATAATAGAATTGTTAGCAAAATTGAAGCCCTACAAAAGGGATATGGATACAAAATTAGCTGGGAAACAGAAAGCAGAGGTAGTGATGCATGGTTGTTTTTCAGACTGAAGGGAAGTATACAGTGGTGTCCCCCATGGTTGGTAATTAATCATATAATCCTTCTATTCGATATAGCGCTTTTCACGTCTTTGAGACGTCTCAAAGCACTTCTCAACTTTGAAATGACCAATTTATCATTTGTTTTTGAGGGATTATTATCAGGCCTGTGGAGTAAGGAAACTTGCCCAAGGTTTCGCCCTGCCGGGAATCGAACTCAGGTCACTCGCTTGCGAAGCGAGTACTCTAACCACTGAGCTACAGGATTCCATTAGGTCCACTGCTCTCTTTGATATACATAAACTACTTGGACTTATAATAATAATAATCCTTGCATTTGATATTGTGCTTTTCACATCTTCTAGACATCTCAAAGTGCTTTACGGAATATACTGTAAAGTGAATTGACTGTATATTTGTGGGCGAAAAGCGGCAGCCAATTGCGCACAGCAGCGTCCCACAAACAGTCGTGGATTGAAGTGACCCAATTTATTATTTTTTTTCTTGAAGGATTATCATCAGGCGTGTGGAGTAAGGAAATTTGCCCAAGGTTTCGCCCTGCCGGAAACTGAACCCAGGTCTCTCGCTTGCGAGGCGAGTGCTCTAACCACTGAGTTACAGGCCTCCACTTGGGTATAGAGAGCAAAAAGTTTGCAGATGACACAAAAATTGGGAATGTAGTAAACAGTGAAGAGGATGGTAGCAGATTGCAGGAAGAGCAAAGAGAGAATGGTGAAATGGGAGACACGTGGCTGATGAAATTTAATGCAGTGAAGTGTGAGGTGATTTGGGAGGAAGAATGAGGAGAGGCAATATACAATAAAAGGTACAGCTTTAAAGGGGTGCAGAAATAGAGGGATCTGGGGGTTCACACACACAGGTCTTTAAAAGTGGTAGGACAGGTGGCTCAGATGGTGTGTTCTTTTGAGAGCTAATGGTGATTTTGGCTCAGGACAATGGACAACAACTCCCTCCAACTCTGTGCTCAGTTTACAGCCTCTCTGTTCTTGGATCCAACGGAGGACCATCTACTGATTCATATGGGTATTGAATGATGACCATGTCTGTAAAGAACTGGACCGCATGCTGTCAAGTGATCGTTCCATATTCAAATCAGGTCCTGTCTGTAGGCAAGGCTGAGGCACTGGCTAAGAATGATCTAACCAGATAACATTGGCCCAGGCTGAAATCTCCCTAGGACCTGCCAATGCGTGCAGGCCTGTGCAGGGCAAGTGGTACGATGTAGAGGCTCTAGTCAGGATGGAAATATGTCTGAAAAGTACCCAAATCTGCCTGCAATCGCACATCAGGATGGTCAGGATGGGGATACGTCTGAAAAGTACACAATATCTGCCTGCAATTCCACATGCTCAACAAACTCCCTGAAGGCTTTGAGGAATCCTGGCTGCTGTTGTTCCCTACGGCACTGGTCACTGCTTCACAGTCTGTGACATTGCGAGGACCCTCACAATCTTGGACTGGAAAAGAATAGCTTGTTGGGAATGATGACGAGTGCAAGCGGCTCAGATGTATCTTGAAGGTGAATCTTGAGGCCTGATACGGTAGACTGGCGGGTGAAGCCAAGAATGGGATATGATGAGGCAACCTACAATTGGCTTCCTAACAGGTTAATGCATACATGAGCTGTGCACAGAACGGAATGGGTGCTCCTATCGTCAAGGCAGTTGGCTTGGCAACACCACCTCACCATCAGCGGATCCACTGTCCATCGAGGGAAGATGAGGCACTGTGAGGAGTGCAGATAACAGATGCAGAGCTAGATTGGACAGCATTCCACCTGAGCTGTTGATGTGCACAGAGGACCTGATATGCAAAGTTTACACGGCCTCGTTCTGAAGGTATGGCTTCAGCTGCGGAAGGGCCCGTGTACAGCTATCTCCTGATGACACTGTACCATATTATTATTACCATATAGGCTGTTTGGTCACATCCGTCGTGAGTTCCAACTACCACTGAACATTGGGTACGTTGGTATTAAGGCAGTGTTTGATTCAATAAATCATGAGTCACTGTGGAACGTGTCACCAATGTCTTGATGGGGTTAATCGCACCTGTGCACAGACACGTCACCACATGTGCGGATGGGAGCTGATATATCCTTCCATTTTGCGTCCATATCTGGAATCCGACATGGTTGTGTTCTCGCAACCAGCTTGGCCTACTCCTTGCCAACAAGGTATTTATGGATGTCTACACTGACACCACTGCTCTTTTAACTGACGACCCAGCGAAGTGGCCAGCGATCCTGAAGCACTTCAAGGAGGCAGCTGTCTCCATGGGGCTCCAGCCATTGTGGGCCAAGCCGATGTTCCAGAACTTGGTGCCTACTTCCAGCTTGTTTTTTGGTGAAACGGTCGAACCAGCCCAGAGGTTCACATACTTAGGATGCGACATACTGTCCGAGACATACCGGGGTCCGAGACAAAAGTTCAGGGCCAACTCAAGCCTTTAACATCCACAGGATCTACAACATCCAGCTGAACAGGCAGATAGTACCTTGGTTTAATATTTCATCTAAATGATGGAGCCTCCATCAATGCAGCAGATCCCCAGCACGACACTGGAGTGTCGGCTTAGACTATGTGATTTCAAGTCCTGATGTGGTGCTTGAACCCACAATCTTCTGACTCTGAGGTGGAGTGCTACCACTGAGCCAGTCCTCAATTGTCATAATGTGAATACTGACAAGGTAACAGCAGAGGCTGACCTTGACTAGCACAAGTCTCTTTAGGGTAGAAAAGGAAATTTATATTTATATTCATATGGAGCTTTCTTGCTGCTGCAGCTGAGTTTGTAAGGAGACTGAAGCTACAGCCTGCAAGGCACCCATCCCTGAAGCGGGACCCCGTCAGGGTAACCACAGAGGGCAGAAGAGCTGTTAGGCAAAGCAGAAGCCTTTAAGCTGGTTTTGGAAGTTTCCTCGGAGCAAGCTAGAACTGCAGCAAAGGCAACTTACATCCAAACATGGCACGAATACAGGAAGGTTTTTAGAGAAATTAAGCAGAATCAATGGGCTGTGTCAATCCAAAAGCAACTGCCTAAGAACAATCCCAAATATTTCCTCCGCTGGCTGAAGTCTGTCACTGGTCATGGCTGGAGGGGCCGCTCTGCTGTACAACAGACCCAAGAGGGTATCTGTGGGCTCTGGAGGTAGCATGGCATCTGACCCAACAGGCTGTAGTGGAGATTCATCTGCATGGAGGTTGGAAGAACTAGAGGGAGGCGTAGAACAGATTAAAGGCCTTATTGACCCATTCGACTGGGAGGAAGTGGACTCCGTACTGCGGTGTCTTGCTAACAGCAAGGCAGCTGGTGCAGACAGCATTAAGTTGCTGAGTTCTTAAAAGCTGAGGGGGTGGGAGGATCTTCAGATCCAAGACAAGAACCTACAACTCGCCTTTGAGCTGCGCTCCTAGGCTATAGCACAGCCTTCTAGGGAAGCTCCAAGGCAAGTTGGAAGTTTCTGGCTTGGATTCTTATCAGTACTCAGGGTCATGGTGGACACCAACTTCAGTCTGGACACTGTTCTGAGGGACTGCGCTGAGAAGGGGTGAAGAGCACTAGTCATACTTGTCTCTCTTCAAGAACAGCAAGGTCCCAATGCAGGTCAAGCTTGTGGCATACAAGACCTGTGTACAAACAGTCCTCCTTTATGGATCTGAGCTTCTGGAGATGCAACAGAGAGATTTCCTCCGACCCATTTAGAAAGTCCAGGATCAAGCAGAGGTGGATTTGTGGCAAACACTGGAAGCAGCTACAGGGAGGGAGGGCTCCAACCTACCTACCTGTCACTAAACTCCCTGGAAGTGTAAACAACTTCACAGCAGGCACATCTATTTGGCAAGGCCTCTTGCATGAGGGCCTGGATTAAGAAGATGATGGTGAGTAAGCCTGGTACACAGCATTGGACTTGGACCTCAAGAACATCAAGGTAGCTAGCATGTCAGAAGCTGTCCTGTAAAGGTCCTTCCACAATACTGAAGCAGATGTCCGCCAGATAGTTGCTGAAGAAACTGAGTTTTGGGGTGACAGTTGCTGGAAGGCATTACATGGGAGTCCGAATTTGTGAACATGCATTTGTACATCCAGCACCTGGAATCCACCTTGATTGGTTTGCAGATAGGTAAGCAGCTGCTGTTTAAACTCCACACCTCCAATTGGTGGAACCATCGCTCAATGGGAAGGGTCTGCCCAAGCTGTGGACAGGAAGATGTTGCCTACCAGGACGCTTGCAGAGAATTCATTTTACCTACCATCCACCTAATGAGGTCTTAAACTCATGCTTGTCGAATATCAAATGACCAAGTGGTAACTTTTCCTTGGGAGTGGTAAGCATGGTCTCTTTGGAGCAGAACTGGCTCCAAGGTGACATGTTTGGCAACAGAAAGTTGGAATTGAGCCAGCCCTTTGTGGTAGCCTCAGCTGTCCAGTTCTTGAGCCAGGCTGGTCTGCAGTATTCCAGGGCACTGCTGATGACAGCACAGCCAGGCTGGCTCATTGGCAGAACTTGGAAGGGCAGACCAGGAGCTGCACACCCTCACACTCAATTCCTGTTAACCCTGCAAGCCAAAGCACTAATGGGCAAGGTGTTCCCAGCTGAAAAAGCAATGGAAAAGCTTGACAGACAGATAAGCTATGTGGCTTTAGCTGGTTAGATTCCACCAGTACCTCAACAAACCCTCTGGGATCCCCAAGCCTTGGCTCTTGCCTATCTGCGCCTAATGCTTTCCAGAATTAGGTAAACAGGATGCTCATCACAGTCCTTTTCCCTAGGCGTGACAAGTGACGGGAGTTTACTGTAGATGAAAAAGTAAAACCTCTAGGGTCATAATCTCCTGATTATTACATGTGCCACACACTAACGAACCCACGCAGGAATGCTTGAATTTGAGGCATCAATGCGTGGTTTGAGGGATGATGTAGAAAGCAGAGTTTTCTAGAATGTTCAAGAGGGAAAGGCTCACCTAAATGGTTAGATATGGCACTGATATTCATGGAGAGAGCATAAATGGCGCAGTGAGGGTACATTTAATAAACTAATATGGCAGGGGAGTGAAGAAACAAGAAAAGGAAGCACAGAGGGAAATAAGCATTGGAGAAAATAGAGTAAGAGATTTAGCAAAGATAATTTTAAAAAATCCTTGCATTTGAAACACCGCCTTATCACGTCTTCGAGACGTCTCAAAGCGCTTCATAAAATGGCAGAATATTTTGTGGGCAAAATGCGGCAGCAGTGTCTCACAAACAGTCATGGAATGAAGTGACCAATTATTTTTTTTTGAAGGAATTATTACACCCCGGAAAAGCGATCCGCCAATCGACTAACAACCGGGTTCCTACTTACTGTTAGGTAAATAGAGGCGTTTGGAGTAAGGAGACTTGCCCAACATTTCACCCTGCCGGGAATCGAACCCTGGTCTCTCGCTTGCGCGGCGAATGCTCTAACCATTGAGCTACAGGACTCCAAGATAAAATAGAATAGGAGAATGAAGAGAGGAGAGAGAAATAAAAATGATAACAGATAGATAAACTACACGCCTTTACCCACATGAGTATTATACGCACGGTGGTATAATGGGATAGCTATTACAGACATGGCTATAGCCTTGTCAATACCAGGTAAAATTGGGAGCTGAATATACCAGGATCTTTAGAAGTGACAGTGATAACGGGTAAGAAAGCAAAGCGTAATTAACAAAAGATGAAATCATGGTAGTTAAACAGAGAATTATTTGAAGGTAATCAACAGATAGAATCACTGTGAATTAAAGTGCAGAATTGGATGGATGTAAAACCCTGTTTTTTCATAGACAGTGATGATAAAATGGAGAAATGTTTAATGCAGAGCTGGCTAGCAAATGCCTGGAATTTTACCATCAGAGAAAATAACTGAGCATCTAGATACATACACACAGATCAGGGAGAGTCAGCATGGGCTTGTAAAGGTAGATCACCCCTCACAAATCTTATTGAGTCTTCGACAGAATCACAGGTGCTGTAAATTCTATTGTTCTATAAAAGGGGAATCGATGGTTTTCATTTATAGGGATTCCTTTAGCTCAGTGGTCAGAGCACTCGCCTCACAAGCGAGAGGACCTGGGTTCGATTCCCACCAGGGTGAAATGTTGAGCATATTTCCTTACTCCACTCGCCTATTTACCTAGCAGTACAGAGGAAACCGGTTGGTAGTCAATTGGTAGATTGCTTTACCGGGCCTAATAATCCCTTCAAAAAAAATAATAAAATAAAAAATGTTATATCCTGTGAAGCACTTTGAGATGTCTCGACAACAGCATAAGGCGCTTATCAAATGCAAGATTTATTATTATTATTATCCTTCGGATGTTCAGGTGGATATTAAAGATCTCATGGCACTACTGAGAAAGAGAAGGGAGTTTCTCCCATTGTCCTGGGCAACAATGCCCCAAAATAATATTGGTCAATCACTCCATTGCGTTTTGTGGGACATTGCTGTGTGCAAATTGCCTTCCGCATTGGCATGTGCAATTCTGTGTAAGAGTTATTGGGTTCTCAAACACAATTAGCCCTGAAACAAACAAACCTGTATTAGGCCTATTAATTTCAGAAATAATAATAATAATCCTTGCAATTGATATAGCATCTTATCGCATTTTCGGTATGTCTCAAAGCGCTTCACGGAATATACTGTAGGATTCTGTAATTAATGTATTAAACAATATCTCAAATTATATTTGCGATGTTTATATATATAATATACTTGGAACATATGATCAATCTCATATGAGGGGAGCTGGTTGTGACTAGCTTTGAAGAAGATTCTTGCTTAAGGAGGATAAACTGTTTTCATTCTTTATCAGACATTTTCTCATGGAAAAAACAGATTCAGCCAAGCCTTGGGTCCTTATGTCTGCTGGCACTCTGAACAATGGCTCTTAGGAACAGATAAAATGGCACCTTCAGTCTCCTTTCTTTAAAAAATTACTGGAATGTTCCTTTGAAATGCCAAGAATCTTTTTCTCCTTTTTTATTTAAATAGACACTCCCAGAACTCTGAATGAAAGTTTTTTTTTGTTATCACAGAAATCAGTGTGAGGCATTCGAATAAATGATCTGAATAAATATGGTGTATATTATAAATGAAAAGAAATGAGTCATGGTAAATAAACATGGGAATAAACATGGCCTCTTACCTCAGATATTTGCTTTTGCAGATCTTTGGCGTACATTTTCAGCACTGCCTGAGCTAAGGCCTTGCGCTTCTTGGACAAATTGTTGCGTACACCCTCCACGTTGATAAGAAAAGGTCCAATGACAATGGTATTAGGGAGACTATTGTCGATCTTCTCTTTTTCCTCCAAATGCATTGCCACCACCTGGCTCACCTCAAAAGCTGCTGGTTCCTGGCTACTGAATTTGCTACAGTTATAAGAGACACAGATACTGAGGTTTAAACACCACAATAAATTAGAGCTTTTCCTTGATCTGTTGAGGCTGTATACAAGCTGCTGGGAAGCAGCCAGGGTGTGATAATGGGTTCATGTTCTATTTCTTTACAGTGTGATATGTACTAATACTTAAAAATTCCGCCCAAGATGTGTTGGTCCCCAGAAAATAGAAATCTCGGAGGCTATTCTATCCTTTGTATTAGTGTCAATGTTTGTTAGTATTCTAGTTGAAATTTTTGAGGTCAGTAGCATGGTGGATGAGGAAGTTTCTATGACCGTTTTCTCTAGAGACTTTCAGAAGGCATTTGATAATAATAATAATTGATAAGGTTTTGCACAAAAGAGTATTAGTGAAAATGAAAGCGCACCGAAATGGGGGCAATTGGTTGGGAGCGGGACAGAGGAGGGATAAAGGGAACGTTCACTGATTGGCAGGATGTAACAAAGTGGTGATTCTCAGGCGTATTTACTGGGGCCTCAGCTTTTCACCATGTATTTTATTTAATGACTTGGATGAAGGAACAGAGAACTGTATACTAAGTTAGGAGTCATAAGTAAATTGTGTAGATATCAGCAGGAAATTACAAAGGGAATTAAGCGAATGGTAGATTGAATAACTGATTGTAACTTGCATAACCTTGCTGATTCTCATTTATAAATATCGACTGATTGAAAAGATTTGTGTTGGTCCTTACTTCACTGCAGTCAGATATTTGAGAACCCTTACAAAACCTGGGATTTAAGGGTTAAATTATGAGCATAGGCTGTGTAAACATGGTCTATATTCCCTTGAGTTCAGAAGATTGAGGAGTGATCTAATCAAGGTGTTTAAAATGATAAAGGGATTCGATAGGGTAGCTACAGAGAAACAATTTCCTGTGTGATGCAGAACAAGAGGGCAAAACCTTCAAATCAGTGCTAGGCTATTTAGGAGTGAAATCAGGAAGCATTTTTTTTACACAAAGGGTAGTGAAAATTTGGAACTTTCTCCCCGAAAAGGCTGTGGATGCTGGATCAATTGGAATTTTCAAGTCTGAGATTGACAGATATTTGTCAGGTCAGAATGTCATGGATATGGAGAAAAGGTGGGTAAATGGAGTCGAGGTGCAGATCAACCATGATCTAATAAAATGGCGGAACAGTCTCAAGGGGATGAATGGCTAAATGCTCCAATCGGTTGTCCGTGCCACCCACAGCACAGAAACAGCCCTGGTCAAAGTGACAAATGACATTCTGTCCATCTGCGACCAGGGCTCCCTCTGCCTCCTCATTTTCCTTGACCTCTCTGCTGCTTTCGACACCGTCAACCACTCTATCCTCATCCACCGCTTCTCCTCTCACCTCAACCTCCAAGGCTCTGTCCTTGACTGGTTCAGATCGTACTTGTCACACCGCCTCCACTTCATCTCCACAAATGACTTTTCCTCTAGCCCCCAGACCGTCTCGGCATTCTTCAGGGCTCTGTTCTTGATCCCCTCTTCAAACTCTATGTGCTCCCTTTTGGTGACATCATCCGCAGACATGGGGTCAACTTCCATATGTTTGCGGATGACACCCAACTTTAACTCTCTACCTCCACCCTTGACTCCAGGACCACTGATGTCCTGACTGAATGTCTGTCAAGTCCTGGATGAGAGCTAACTTTCTTCAGTTGAACGTCAACAATACCTTAATTTATGGCATAAATCAAGAAATATTCAATCAAGAAAACTTATATTGTTAGCCAACCAGAACGAATGGCCACTACTGCTCTAGAGATCTATCCTAATCCCAATTTCCACCTCTATTCCCTTTCCCCCTGCACCTCACCTCGATATGTGCTTATCTAATTACTCACTCCCTCTCTCACTTCTTCCCTTAATGCCTTTACTACCTCTTTTCCTTTTACCATTCATGTCACTTCTTCCCTACCTCTCACTCTCACCTACTCCCTCCCTCATTCCCTTCCTCACCCAATTCCTGCTTCAGGCCATCTCATTCTTTCCGATAATGCCTCACTTCCACCTCGCTCACACTGTCCCTTACGTCTTCCGTCATTCGATCACCGTCTCATATCCTCTTTTACTCAATCCTTCCTTTGCTCAATCCCTCACTTGCTCCCTTCCTCATGTTCCACCCCTTCCTCGGCCTCTCCCTCTGTTCCCCCAGACCTTCCCCCCTCCCAATCTCACTTGGTCCCTCCATCCCTGAATCTCCCACTCATTCTCTCATTCTCTCCTTTTACTCCGCCCTTCGTAACTCCTTTGGTCAATCCCTCATTATCTGACTAACTCCCTCATTCACTCCCTCAATCTTACATCATCATTCTTTCCCTCTCTCCTTCCTCACTTCCTCTTTCCTTGCCTTCTCACCTCAGATGCTGACAGTATTAACCTGCTTGGTGCACACTCCACTTCACGGAGCTAATATCTTGTCTGACTCCCAACTGACCTACAAACATTCAAACTCTGACCTGCTCAGCATGCCCTCACCTCCAAATCATTGCCCATCTATGCCATCACTTTTCCACTCGGGCAGCTGAGACCCTCATCCATGCATGTACCATGTCCTGGCTAGACTACACCAATGCTTCCCAGCTCATCTCTGCACAAACCGTAGACTATCCCGAATTCTGCAGCCCATGTCCTTTCTAGCAACAGGCTCGGCAATCCTAGCACCCCATCCTTGCCTGACTCCATCAGCTCCCCATCACCCAGCAGATTGAGTTCAAGGTCCTCGTTCTCATGTTCAAATCTCTCCATGGTTTCCCTCCATGTGCCTCTGCGACCTCCACAAACCCTACCAACCTGGCCACTCCCTTTGTTTAGCAAGCACCAGCCCCCACCCTATCTGCCCTACCTTCGGCAGGCAGGTTATTCTGTCCCCATTCTTTGGAATTACAACCAAGAGCCTCTCTGACTCACTCCTTCAAATCACCTCTATCAAGGCACATCTTTAAATGTGACCCCGCTTTTGGTGATCTTTTCCCTCCTAGCTCCTCTTGCCTGCCAGCTCCACTTCGAGTACCCATCCAGCATTGAAGCGCTGTGAGACATCTTCCCAATGTGAAAAGCATTATACAAATGTAAATCGTGTTGTAAGATGGACAAGGGTTAGAGGAACAGAGCAAGAATACAAAGCGATCAGAATGAAGCTAAATAAACAGAAATTAAATCACATTTGGTAACTCTGAAATATGACCAGTTCAATGTTCGGCTGTATAAATGAGCTTTACAGTATGAAATTCTGAGCAGAAGGTGCCAGCCGTGGTCTGTGGTAAGCTTTGTTTTCATTTTGTTGACCGGATCTAAGAGCACCAAATGTTGTGTTCTCCTTGACCCAGAAAATGTTATTTCACAACCGAGACTGAGGCCTTCACCAGGCAAGTGAGTGCTGCACCCAGTTCCACATTCCATTCAGAACTGCCCATCACACTTGTGTACATAATCATCTTTTATGCTGACTTTAATTTGTTAATTTGCACGTAATTGCAAGCTTAGACACTGTGCTGTCACTAACCTGATGTAACTGTCAATATCCATTTCATTCAGCTCCAGGTGTTTCTCAAACTGCTTGGCATAGCTTCTCAGAGGGATCAGTGACTTCTGAATTGCATTACGCAGGGTATTGCGTAGCTCCTTGACGGGGGGCTCATTATGCCACACAGACTCCAGCAGCGGGGTCCCGCTCAGAAACATTTCCTCCAGGATAAACTGGGCGTAAGAAAAGTGTAGACTTCATAAGGCAAAAAAGTAATCAGAGCCAATAATATAAAACAAGAATTCCAGCTTGTGTGATTATCACAAAACAAGCAGTATGATCAGGGGAGACTCATAGATCTGGGGCACTGTGTAAATAGATCACTCAGAAGGCAGGAGCAGCTCGATTGGACAGGAAGAAAATGGTGATTGGCATTGAAATTCAGTTACGACAGCACAGGCCAAATCAATTGAGATGTTTAAAAGGGAGATAATCTTCTTCTTAAAATTTAAGATCACCACCATTAGGGACAATTCTTAAATCCAGCCTTAAGTACAGACCAAATTTCCACCTAGGGTGGAACCTAAGATCACTTTGCTATTAAAATTTAAGATTGTGGAAAATTCTTAAATTCAGTCTTAATTTGGAGGTCAGTTTTCTTCATTTCTTGAAAAGACCCGAATCCCAAATTAAGACTGAATTTAAGAATTTTCGACAATTCTGCACAATCTTCGATTTTAAGACCACTTAAAATTCCACTGGGTGGAATATTGAACTGAAATTACAAAACTAAATAAAACAATTCTTGCATTTGATATAGACTTTGACATCAGCAAAAGATCTGAAAGAGTTTCAGAGGATATACTGTAAAGTGGTGTGACTGTATTTTATTGGTGAACACAGCAGCAGCCAATTTGCACCCAGATATCAAAGAATTATGCAGCACAGAAGGAGGCCATTTGGCCCATTGGGTCTGTGCCGGCTCTTTGAAAAGAGCTATCCATACCCCCACCCTCTTCCCACCTAGCCCTGCAAACGTGTCCTCCCCAAATAATCATTGGCTTCTCGCCTAAAAGTTATTATCGAATCGGCTTCCACCACCCTTTCAGGCAATGCATTCCAGATTCGAACAACTCGCTGCGTGAAAACATTTCTCCACACCTCCTCTTTGTTTCTTTTAACAAGTATGTTAAATAAGGTGACAAACCCACCCGTCAATGGAAATAGTTTCTCCTTGTTCCCTCTCCAATACCTTGACATCCTTCCTGAAGTGTGGGGCCCAGAACTGAACACAGTCTCTCGCTGAGGCCTAACCAGTGTTTTATAAAGATTCATCATAACTTCCTGACTTTTGTATTCTATGGCCCTATATATAAAGCCTAGTATTCCGTTTGCTTTTTTAACAGCTTTGTGTACCTGTCCTGCCACCTTCAAAGATTTACCTATATGAACCCTCAGGTTTCTCTGTTCCTTCACCCCTTTAAGATTGTACCATCAGCGTATACTGTCTCTCCTCATTCTTCCTCCCAAAATGCATCATTTCACATTTCTCCACATTAATCTTCATCTGCCCCCTGTCTGCCCATTTTACCAGTCTGTCTATGTCCCCTTGCAGTCTACTACTATCCTCCTCACTGTTTACTACTTTTCCAAGCTTAATATCATCTGCAAAATTGGAAATTGTACTCCTCTACCCAAATCCATGTCATTTATACAGATCGAAAAGAGCAGTGGTCCCAATCCTGACCCTGGGGGATACCACTACATACTTCCCTCCAGTCAAAAAACAACCGTTCACCACCTCTCTCTGCTTTCTGTCTCCCAGTCTGTTCTGTATCTGCTGCCACTGTCCCTTTAATACCGTGGGATTCTATTTTGCTTACAAGTCTCTTATGTGGCACTGTATCAAACGTCTTTTGAAAATCCATATAAACTACATTTGAAATCCATATTGAACTACATATGTCCCACAAACAGCCATGGAGTGAGTGATCAATTTAATCTGGGGGATTGTTAGCCAGGGCACCAGGAGAAACTTCCTTCTCCTTTCCAATCGTTCCCTGGGATCTTTAACATCATGTGAACAGGCAGACCTGGCCTTGGTTTAACACCTCATCTCAAGGACAGCATCTCAAATAATGCAGCGCATTCCACATTGAACTGGCAGCCAAGACTATATGAGTTCAAAGTCCTCACATGGAGCATGGAACCAAAAACTTTTTGACTCAAAAGTGAGAGTGTGAGTGACTTGAGCTATACAACCTGGCTATCGAGAGGATAAATGTCAAGGACATCTCAAAACGTACCTCTTCAATGCTTTGTCTATCAACTTATTATTAACGTGAACGAAGCAAAGCACAGCCTCACCATGGATGTCAAGCATGGTGTTGGAGATGTCTCAGTCCTGAAAGAATCCAAGACCTTGGGAATCTATTGCTAAAAATCAGATAACTGACCATAGCAAACAGATACAAACCTCCAAATCTTGAAGGCTGAAGCCCATCTTTTCAAACCCAGTGTAGTTTGGTAACTATAATAGCCACCACTCACAATGGGACTATAGCAGAAATGATGAAGCTGGTGAGCAACTGATAGATTAGCCTTAATTAATAGACATCCATCTTCTTTTTGACCCCAAACAACCCGGGACTTTTCTCGTGGCCAGACACAATCCGTACCTCTGCTTTCTGACAAAGAACAAAGATCCTGACACAGCAAAAAGCTACTAGAGTATTCAATAGTGCTTCCTCAAGAGATGGAACAAGACAATGGAGCGCCTTGACTTCATTCATTCCAGTCGCCAAGCCTGGGCACTCCTCTGTAAGCTTGAAACTGCTAACCCGTTTAACACCATGAACCAAAAGTGACAGTCAATGCTGTCGCCTCACACCTTCTTGGTAACTCAAAGACCAAAACTGACACACTGATGCAATAGAAGGTCCGCCATTTCACCACCATCATCCCTATATACTATACAAGAAATAAACAAGGCCTTCATGGCCACTAAAAGCAGAAAGGCTTCTGGCAAGGTTGGCATGTATGCTGAATTTCTCAGGAATTTGGGACCAAAGAGACAAGTATGCTTGGTGGACATATTCACTGTTGTATAGTCAACAATGAAGCACGAGCCTCTGCCCTTCTCAAAGGTGGGAAACCAACGCCAGCTGTCATCCAATATCACTCCTCTCCACAACTCGCAAGTTAATGAAAAGGTTTTAAGGTTGGCAAAAATCAAATACCCCCTATCTTTGTGGCCATACTGCCAAAGAAACAAGCCAGCTTCAGACAGGGGCAAAGTTACTGCAACCAGGTTCTCCCATTAATTGTCACATTGAGGCTGGCTTCCATCGGAATCTAAAAACCTGAACAGATTTATCTACTGCCTACAATACAGTATGAAGGTCTGGGCTATTGCTCAAGATATCAAGGGTCATCAAATGCTACATCACTGTTCGACTCCTGGCCACGATGTTGAGCAACCATAGATATTGCATCCTCCTTCACTATTCAACAGTTACACTAGTGACTTACCTGAAACAAGTTAATTTATACTGACAAAATTATCCTTGCAGCACAAGGCAAAGCTCTCACCATCATTGGCGAAACCCTCCCTACCTATTGAAAAATAATTTATTGTTACCCTTCACATATCTTGCCATGTTCAGTTCAGTTTTTCTTTGCCATTCTGATACCTTTCTTACAATCCTGGCCTGCCTTCTGGTAATGAGTCTGTCTTTCCTCTGCTCCATTTTCCTTCATGGCCTTAAATGCCTTTTTTTTCTCCTCTCTTTGTGTTCCTTGGTTGTCCCACCAATCAGGCAAGAGTGCCCTTTTGGTATCTTTGCTTTGCAAGGGCACACATTGATCCATTGCATTCCGAATCACCTCCTTGAATGAGCTCCATAGTTCCTCTGCTCTTTAGCCATGTTTAAACCTGCCAGGTCCACTCTGACAAGGCTTCTCAAGTGCCTAAAATTGGTCTTAAAATTTGGCAATTTTGTTTTTATAACCTCACCAATCCTTGTAATACCAAATGTGATAACATTATGATCCCTGTTGCTTAATCCCTCACGCACCTTTGGAGATTTGATCGTCCCTGTTACTCATAACCAAGTCCAAGATGTTATTTCCCCTTTTTGGCTCCTTTACAAACCGAGTCATAAAACAGTCTTCCTTTAACTCTAGAATTTCTGTCCCTCTCTTACCAGTAGACACATTTTTGTTCCAATCAATTCCTGTTAAGTTAAAATCTCCAACTACTATGGTTGGTCCCTCGCTAGTCGCCTTCCTTATCTCATCCCACAGTTCCAGATCGGGGCTGTCACCCTGGCCTGGGGGTCTACAGCAAACCCCCAATAATAGTTTACCTCTGTTGCCATCTATTAAATCTACCCAAAGTGATTCTGTGGCTGCCCTTTCCTTTTTTATATGCTCACTCATCTGTGCCTCAATACTGGAGTTTATATATACTGCCACACCACCCTCTATTCTTCCAATCCTGTCCCTTCTTAACAGTTTGAATCCTTCCAGATTTGTATCCCATTGATTGGAATCATTCCACCATGTAATAATAATAATAATCCTTGCATTTGATATAGCGCCTTTCACGTCTTCTAGACATCCCAAAGCGCTTCACAGAATATACTGTAAAGTGAATTGACTGTATATATGTGGGCGAACGCAGCAGCCAATTGCGCACAGCAATGTCCCACAAACAGTCGTAGATTGAAAATGACCAATTTATTATTGTTTTTTGTTTTGGAGGGATTATTATTAGGCTCTGTGTGGAGTAAGGAAACTTGCCCAAGGTTTCGCCCTGCCCGGAATTGAACTCAGGTCTCTCGCTTGCAAAGCGAGTGCTCTAACCACTGAGCTACACTGAGCATCTCTGCGATGCTAATGATGTCCAATCTGTCACCCTTGCAAGTCCTTCCAGGTCCCACATCTTGTTAGCCAGCCTTCTTGCATTAATACAAGTACAGCACCATTGTTTGTTCCCTTTCCCTTTTACTTTATTAGCTCTATTAGTTTCTTTATCTCCCACCAATGGAGACAGCTCCTACCTGTTATACTTTGGTTTATGTTTCCACTGGTATACTTTAAGATTTCCCCATATCGGTTGGGGTCCTCTCTTACACCTACCGCAACCACCTGTATCTAGTTTAAACACTCCTTATCATAATAAATATCCTTCCTGCCAACACCTCTAACCCTCTCTTGTTCAGGTGGAACCATCTGGTGTGTACAGGTGCCCCATATTCCAACAAGAGTGTTCCTGAGTTTTGGGGCATAGTGGCTTGAAAGCGCAGCCAATTCCTCCAAATTTGTCTACAATTAGTCACTATACTTGACAACAACTACCTGTGAAGTGTTTTGAGACATTTCACCAATGAAATAAAAGAAAGATTCACATTATATCATTATATAAAATTATTAAAATTGTATCTATTTCATTCTTTTGTACCTGAATATCTCCAGGACACTACCCCGCATGAAGGGCGTTATATAAATGCAAGTTGTTGTTGTTAATAAGAGGGAAGCTAAAACCAGTCGTTAATCTATGAAACCTACTCATGGCACAGATCACATCCAACTTACTACCACTGATTGCCAGAGGTGATCCGTGCACCACTTTACCTTTTCTATCTGAGGAACGTTCTGTGTGGCCGTGATCGCTTTATCAAACAGTGTAAGAAGAACAATTTCAAATTTCTCCAATTGAGTGCTAAAATGTACACCCGTATGATCCAGAATAAGGTCCATAATGAAAAGAGCATTCTTCTTGGGCCTGAAACACAAAATAACATGGTCTTTAGGAATATAGGAACAGGATGTCATTCAACTCATTGAGTTATCACTTATCAATTAGTTTGATATATTATGGCAGACCATTCCTCATCATCTCCTCACATTTTCCCTACACCTCTTAACTGCCCGAGTATCTCCTTTTTACGTCCCAATTAATTCTGCCTTTTTTTTGGTCATATGTGGAAACTCACACATATTCTAAAGAGTATCCAAACCAGACTAAACGATTGATATTTTGTTTAAGGGGAGGAGCCAGATGCCTATGTAAGGAAGGAGGCTAGCTTACCTTGCGGTCGCTAGCTTTTGCTCACCATCGTATGTGCCTGATTTGAGAGCGACTATCTCCAAGTCAAGATTGTTTATTTTAAATTTACTAACCTTAGTTAAGCACTGCTAGTTATATCTCAGTTTTATGTGTAGATAGTTGTCTGTTTCCAATGTTGTGTTTGTTGTGTTATTGTTGCCTAGAGTAAGTACACATAGGGCTGTCTTGGGCTAATAAAAAAATCTTCTCAGTAGTGCCTTTGAGTCTGTTAAATTCTTAAGCAGGGAGGTAGGAAAATACACAAAATAGGTAGGACTCAGTGGCCTAGTAGTGCTATAAGGCACTGGGGAAAGCATCTCAATTGCATGGGCAGTAAGTCAATTGGGAATACCTGTTGTTGTGTTGCTCCAAATAGTGAAGTTCCACAAGAGTAGGGATTTGCACTCACGGAGACAGAGCTGAATACAGAGGCCACCAAGTACACTTTGTGTTACTAAACTTTGCAGGTACATAAAAGGGTGAGAACTGACGCGCTAGCAAACACCAGCTTGCTTCATGTCCACCCCACCCTATCTACCCCACCATTGACATTTTGCCCCTGCTCTCTCGTGCTCCATTCCTGGATTCCCTACGATTTACTCCCGCCCTCCTTTCTTTCAAGGTACGTCAAGACCTAACTCTTTGGGGGTGCTTTTGGCCATTTTTCCCCACCCCCCCACCCTCGGCTCCCACCCCCAGCTAGGGTGCCCAGTTGGTAATGTTGAGCACTTTGAGCTGAACTTCTTAAGTGAAGGTGCTGTGTAAATGTTATGTTTCTGGAAAGGAAATACAAAAATATTGCTTATGCGGTCCAGACCATTCTCAAATAGGGCATTCGGCCCTTGGTAGCCAAAAGGATTGGACCCCCTGAGACCACGCTATTAATTAGAGCTTTCCCTTGCAAGGTCAACAGGAACTAACTGGGAAAACTCTCTCTCCCCGCACAGCCCAAGAATGTCTGCCCCTCCCAGGTCCTGCTAATGAGCCAGGCTGGCTGATCTTGTCATTAGCAATGCTCTGGAGTACTTCGGACCCGGTTTGCTCAGGACCTGGACTTCACTGTCACGTAGGGTGCACTCTACTCCAATGTTCCGTAACCATGCTTGGCACCCTGGAGCAGTTCAGTTCTAAGGAAACCCTGCTTACCAAGGAGGAGAGTCACTAGTTGATCAATTGACATCTGATGAGCCTTCATGAAGTGGGTAACAGGTGCCAGGAATGTTGACCAAAGGCGCGGTCGAAAAGAAAGGTCTTCAGCCGAGACCTGAAAATAGGACGAGAGGGGGCGAGGCGAAGGGAGTGAGGAACGGAGTTCCACAGCCTCGGGGTGTAGTGGCTGAAGGCACAGCCGCCGATGGTGGAGCAGAGAATTCGGGGGACAAGCAGGAGGCCAGACCCAGTGGAGCGAAGGCAACGGGCAGAGAGTAGGAGCGTGCAGAGGAGTGCAGGGATTTGAAAACAAAGGTGAGGATCTTGAAATCGATCCTCTCTGGGACAGGTAGCCAGCGCAGTCTGGCAAGGACTGGGGTAATCAGGAAGCGGAGTTTGGTGCGGGTAAGAATGTAGGCGACAGAGTTTTGTACGACCTGGATTTTATAGATGGTAGTAGAGGAGAGACCGGTGAGGAGGGCATTTGAATAGTCCAGCTGAGAGGTGACAAAGGCACGGACCAGGGTTTCAGCGGCTTTTGGAGTGAGGTAATGGCAGAGATGGGCGATGCGTCGGAGGTGAAAGAAAGCGGTGCTGGTGAGGGACCGGATGTGTGGGAGGAAGGATAATTGGGGGTCGAACCTGATGCTTAGGTTGCGTACGGGTTCAGAGAGTTTTAGGGGGAGGTTGGGTAGGTGGAGGAGGTGAGAACCATGTGATTTTAGACGTTGATGAGAGCCAATGAATATGGCTTCTGTCTTGTCAACACTCAGCTGAAGGAAATTTGCACTCATCCAGCTCCTGAGGTCTGACAGGCAGGCTGACAGAACATCAGGGGACTGGGGGTCACGGTGTGAGGTGGAAAAATAGAGTTGGTTGTCATCTGCAAATATGTGGAAGTGTACACCATGTCTGCTGATCTCCATGCTCCAAGAGGGAGCATGGAGATCAGAAAGAGGAGGGGGCCAAGGATGGATCCTTGGGGTACCCCACAGGTAACCGGGTGAGAGTGGGAGGAGAAGCCGTTTGTGCAGATATACTGCTGGTGGTTCATGAGGTAGGACTCGAACCAGGAGAGAGCGGTCCCACTGAGGTGGATGACGGAGGAAAGGCGGTGGAGGAGGATGACGTGATCGACTGTGTCGAAAGCGGCGGAGAGGTCCAGAGGACAAGGAGGCAGAGGAGCCCTGGTCACAGATAGAGAGGATGTCATTTAAGACTTTCACAAGCGCAGTCTCTGTACTGTGGGCAGAAACCGGACTGGAGGGGTTCGAAGAGGCAGTGGGAGGAGAGGTGTGCGCGGAGTTGATTTGCAACAATTTGCAGGTTTGAAATAGGGCGGTAGTGGCTGGGGTTTGAGGGATCTAGGGAAGGTTTTTTGAGGAGGGGGGTGATGACAGCAGTTTTGAGAGCAGCAGGAACTGGTCCAGAGGAGAGGGACTGGTTGATGACATCAGCCAGGAGTGGGCAGAGGAGGGGGAGCTGGGTGACCAGTAAGTTGGTGGGGAGGGGGTCAAGGCAGCAGGAGGTGGGTATCATTGAGGTGATGGCGGGTGAGAGGGAGGAAGGAGAGATGGGCAGAAAGGAATGTAGGATGGAGGTCGTGGTAAGAGCTGATGATGGGGAGGGTGAGGGGGACGGAGAGGGGGTGGTGGAGGGTGATAAGAGGCAGGAGGATGAGGCTGCCTGGTGGACGTTGTGTACTTTGGATGAAAAGAAGTCCCTGACTCGGTCCCGGGATCCGTTACTGTAAAATGCTCTGAGATGCCGTCCGGCGTGGAGGGCGCTATATAAATCCAAGTTGTTGTTGTTGACGTCCTCGCACTTGGCATTGGATGTGAAGATTGAGGAGGCCTGAGGGGGCGCACGGAGGAGGTAGTGGGTGGTGGAAAAAAGGACTTTGGGTTTGTTTTTGACTCCAAGATGATGTTGGAGTAGAAGGCCATTTTCGCACGCATCAAAGAACGATGGTAACAGTGGAGATGCTTGAGCCACAGTTGCCGGTGGCCTGTCAGGCCAGTTTTGTGCCTTCTGCGCTTGAGCTGCCGGGTTTGGGTTTTTAGGCGGCGGAGATGATTGTTGTACCAGGGGAATTGGGTGGGTTTGGAGATGGTCCTGGATTTCAGGGGGACGAGGGAGTTGAAGGTGGAGGAGAGGCGATCATGGAGCAGCTGGACGGCAGCTTCAGGATCTCTGCGGGTGGAAGGCCAGAGGGATAGGATATTTGAGGATGTCAGAGCCTTTATGAGGGTCTCAGGGATTAGCTTTTTCCATGGGTGGTACAGTATGCTTGAGGGCTTGGCGGAGGAAAGAGGGATGTAAGAGGAGAAGGAGATGAGGAAGTGGTCCGAGATGGCCTTGTCCACTATGCTAAGGTCGGAAATGTCAAGGCCATAGGTGATTTTGAGGTCGAAGGCATGGCCACGGTTGTGGGTCAGTGAATTTATGTGAAGGGTGAGGTTTAGGGAGGAGAGGGTAGTGAAATCAGAGGAAGTGGTGCAAGGGGAGTTTAGGTGGAGGTTGAAATCGCCCATTATGAGCAGGAGTTCGGAACAGAGGGACAGAGAAGAGAGGAGAGTAGAAATGTCAGAGAGGAAGGAGCCTGGGGGGCGGTGGACTAGGATTTTCAGTGGGAGAGAGGGATGGATGAGGGTGAAGTGCTCAAAAGAGGGGAAGCAGCCAGAGGAGTAGGGGGTAAGACCAAGGGAGGCTTTGGAAATGAAGGCCACCCTGCCGCCACGTTGGTTTAGACTTGGGGGGGTGGGGGGTGAAAACTGTAGCCTGGAAGGGAGGATTCCACAAGGGAGACAGGGTCATTAGGGGACAGCCAGGTTTCGGTGAGCCCAAGAATGTCAAGGTGCTCGTCCAGGATGAGGTCATGGATGGTGAGGGCTTTGTTAAAGAGGGAACGGACATTTTGGAGGGAAATGCGGGTGGGTTTGCTGGAGGGAGGGGAGGGGGAGAGAGTGATGTAGAGAGGATTTTGGGGTGTACAAGAGAGAGTCTGTGGGGTGTGGTGGGAGTGGAGAGTTGGGAAGGGTAGTTGGGTTTGCCTTAAGGAGGCGGTTTGAGCAGAGGGAGTGAGTGATGGGACACGTAGGGTTGCTGCTCTGGGACAGCCAGTGCCGGGAGCCATGATGGGCCCCAGCAGAGGATGCCCACGCTGGAGCAGAGGGAAGTGGTGATGGAGTCGAGGAGAGAGAGAAAGCGGGAAAGGCGGTGGGAGACAAGGACACTGGGGGAGTAGCAGATAGAGGGGGGTGTGAGGAGAGACATTGAGAGTGGATGGGGAGGCTCTGGTCGGGGCAGCAGCCAAAACGCGCACTCAGAGACCGGGAGCGAGCGATCAGCGGGACAGCATCAGCCCTCAGGCTGTGTGGTCATGGCTGGGAGGCAGTGACGGGTCTCCCAGGCCATTTTTTTTTAATGATGTCACCCCGACATTACTTTTATAAATCAGCGCCCCCTCCTCACCCCCCGAGTTCTCCTGACTCCGCTTCCGAATGAGTGGCTCCTCACCTCGTTGGGTTTTAATACTCACTACTAGGCCTCTGCTCCACCCTGCGCTCTCCTAACTCTGCTCCCGAATGGGAGCTCCCGCTCTACAACTCCATTCACACCTTCATTATATCCTGCTTAGACTTTTCCAACACACTCACTGGGTCCACCATTCACAAACTGCAACTTATCAAAAAGTCTGCTGCTCACAACAAACGCTGCACACCCATTGTTCCAGTCCTTGCCAGTCTCCATTACCTCCAGCACATTGATTTCAAAGTCCTCAACCTCATCTACAAACTCCACCAGCCCAAGCACCTCTCTATCTCTCCAACTTTCTCCTACACTGCTCCTCTCATCCTCTGCTTGACTACTCATCCTGCCTGCATGTCCTCCATGTTCTCCATACTACCATCAGTGATGGAGCCTTCAGTTCTTACGGTCCTAACCTCTGTAACTCTCTCTCTCTATCACTCTACTTTTAACCTACTCTCTTTCTGTCTTTAAATCCAACTATTCCCAATATGGCTACTTCCCTCGTTTAGTGGAGTCCTGTAGCTCAGTGGTTAGAGCACTCGCTTTGCAAGCGAGAGACCTGAGTTCAATTCCAGGCAGGGCGAAACCTTGGGCAAGTTTCCTTACTCCACACGCCTAATAATAATCCCTCCAAAACCAAAAACAATAATAAATTGGTCATTTTCAATCCACGACTGTTTGTGGGACATTGCTGTGCGCAATTGGCTGCCGCGTTCGCCCACAAATATACAGTCAATTCACTTTACAGTATATTCTGTGAAGCGCTTTGGGACGTCCTCCCGACGTGAAAAGCGCTATATCAAATGCAAGGATTATTATTATTATTATTATTATTAACATTCAAACCTGTCCCTCCATGAATGGCATTGTATAAATACAAATGCTCAGTGGCTACTCAGACACAATGTCAGCTGATAAACAAAAGTCTTACTTGAAATTGCTATTGATGAGATCATCTCCCCAGTCCATGTCTTCAGAGCAATTGAGGGAACTATAGCAGGCATCAAGAAACAGTTGGGTAAAGTTTGTGAGGGAGTCTTGCACAAGGTATCGGAGAGAATCTTGAAGATTGTACTTGATCATCTCCATCAATTTGTGCAGCTTAGACATGCGATAAACCTCCCAGTTGGACTCACGGAGGTTAAACCAGCCCTTGCGTACATCCCATAGGCTTTCACGTAGAGCTTTCTTCAGTGTGTTGATCCAACTGTCACTGAGAAACAGCTGCATCTGAAACCCAATAATAATCCTTGCATTTGATATAGCGCCTTAAACATATTAAGGCACTATATCAAATGATATATATGTATATGTTGAGTTGTCTTCAAAGTGCTTCACAGAATCTACTGTAAAATAAATTGATTTATATATTGTGCATGAAATACCAAATGCGCACAGCAGTTTCCCACACCAAACCCTTCACATCATAGGTGTGGATTTTGCAGATGTCACAATGTGATAACGGAACAGGTGGGGAGTCAGAGAGAGGGTGACACAGAATGGGAGGTGACACAAGAGTACTCTGTTCATGGCTGTAAATCTTGTGAAGCACTTTGAGACATCCTCCTGACATGAAAGATGCTGCATCACTTGCAAGGATTTGATAAAGAGAGCAGTGGTGAGTGAGCTAGAGTAAGCAGTTATTCTGCAGTGCAATATCCATAGTGATTGAAGGCTTTGTAATCTGGATCAGTTTATGAAGTTAATAAACAAAGACTTGGGCATGGTACCTGAGCGTGCGCCTGCGACTGGATCTGTTCAAACTCCTCCAATCGAATGCTTTTTACAAGAGTCACATAGAAGAGAGACATGGCTGCCACCTTGTTGCACTCGGCATGAACTTTTGACAGCGATGTGATTACCTCGGACTTGGTCAAAAGAGTGTTAAAAGCAAATTTGTGTTGGTTTTCATTGAATGGGTAGTCTGGCAGCTCTATAAGCCCTGGAGAAAATGTAAGGTAAAACTAATGACATTGGTAGCTAAAGACATTTTTTAAATTTATTATAATAATGACTTAAAATCTTCGGAAAAAGATTGATTAATATGAGCATGTACCCAGATCCAGCAGAAGCCCAGGGCAGAGCGAGCCAAAGGCAACGGGAGCCAAATGGGGTTTCTTGGAGAAGCCAGCACTTTTGAGTGGAAGTGTTGGCAAAGCTAGTGCTAGCCATTTCTACTGGAGGCCAACAAGAAAATGTAATTCCCACATTGGTGGCAGGGCATAAACCACACTGGCAGACCAATACAATAACACTAAAATAATAATAATAAAAAATTGGTCACTCAACTGAGTGTCCCAAAACTGCTTGTGGGACACTGCTATGCGCAATTAGCCGCCACGGTTCGCCCACAAATATACAGTCAATTCACTTTACAGTGTGTTCTGTGAAGCGCTTTGGGACGTCCTCCCGACGTGAAAAGCGCTATATCAAATGCAAGGATTATTATTATTATTATAATAAAGCACTATATAAATGCAAGGATTATTATTATTATTTAATTCCTGCCGATGAGCCAGGTGGGCTAGTGTCAAATTAGCAGTGTCCTGGAGTACTGCAAACTGAGGAATCAGCCTACCAAGACTGCTGGTTCAGGTCGAAGGAGACCCCACTTAGCATTTTAAGACGTCTGAATGAAGTGATAAGGAGCTATTTCAAATGTAAAGATTACTATTATTAATATAGCACACCAATACACTAACACACAAACTACACAAACACACATCATAGGTGAACATGGCAGCTAATTTGCAACAGTAATGTGCCACAAATGAGTGACCAATTCTATTTGGGGGATTGTTGTCCAGGACACTGCAAGAAACTCCCTTCTCTTTTGAATAGTGACAGGAGATCTTTAAAGCCAGGTTCCATTCCACTTGAACACCATTTTCTCATTCTAAGCGGCTAAAACAGGATCTTGATATGTACCTTAGTACTGCTGATAAATCAAAGCACATAAATGGAAATGGAATAAATAGATTACAGAATGTCTGCATTACCTCTGTATGGAACTTTCATTTTCACTTCATCTGGAAGCGTGACATGAGAAAACTGTTTAGGATCGGATGACACAATCTTGTCAAAAGTAATTTTATTCATTGTTCGGTCATATTCTAGATAAACCTCTTGTTCTACATTATTCAAATAGTCCGCTAACCTATAAAGTAAAAGAAAATAATTTCTCTGTTAAAAAAAAAGTATTTTTTCAAATAACCATCTTTAAATGTGGAGCAGGCTGTACTAGAACCTACTACACAGGCAGAGCCCACAGGCGAGAGGAGAGAGAGTGACAGATCAGTAAACCAAGAAGGAAATTTTCTGGTAATTTTCCAAGTGTAGTGAAGGATAGGAAGCAGAGAATAAGGCCAAAAGGATGTTTTTCCAGTTAGAGGAAGTAATTACTGACGTATTGCAGGGTCTGTGTTGGGCCTCTCCTTTTCTCTATATGTAGTAATGACCTTGACCTTGATGTGCAAGTTGGGTCATCATGAGGAATGCAGTTTAAAACTGCTGTGATCTTCTCCAATACACTGTGGACAATCTGTGGTTGTCTGACCAGGTGTATAGACTGTAACCTTGCCGCTTTTTCCTCTTTACCCCGGTTTTAATGTATAATTTAGAAACCCAGTTAATCGATTGGAGGATCGCTTTTCCAGGGGTGATAATCCATTTAAAAGAATAATAAAAAATAATTTGGTCACTCAATCCACAACTGTTTGTGGGACACTGCTGTGCACAATTGGCTTCCACGTTTCGCCCACAAAACATACATTCAAATCACTTTACAGTATATTCTGTGAAGCGCTTTGAGATGTCTTGAAGACGTGATAAGGTACAATATCAAATGAAAGGATTATTATTATTATATACAGAGGATGGTACCAGAGTTTGCAGGTGATACCAAGTTGCAAGATACAGTGAATAGTGAGGAGGATGGCAAAAGACTGCAGGTGGACTTGAATAGGCTATAGCAATGAGCAGATCAGAAGCACATGAAGTAGTATTTTGCAAGGAGCAGGGGAACAAATGAACTTAGGAGAGCAGGTACATAAGGGCTTGAAAGTGGCAGCGCAAATAGAAAGGCTTGTGAAAAAAGCTAATGGTATTCTGGGTTTTATGCATAGGAGCACAGTATACAAAAGTAAAGCAATAACGCTGTTTGTACAATTGGTTAGATTGCACCTGGAGTACTGTGTACTGGGTGAAGAGGAGGTTTATGAAAATGATCCCTGGGATGAAGGGCTTTAATTATGAGGAGAGATTAGAGAAGTGGGTCTATTCTAATTGAAGCAGAAAAGGTTGAGATAGAGGTGTGTACACCTCTATCAGGGCCCAGCTCAATGTTTTCCGCTTCTATGAGGCTGAACAGGGAGAAGCTTTTTCCATTGGAGTCAATGACTAGAGGATACAGATATAAGATAGTTACAAAAAGTGCAAAAGGGATCTTAGGGAAAAAAAATTCACGAAGGTGTTGGGATGTAAATGCTCTGCCCAGTAAGGTGGTAGAGGCAGAATCCATTGTGGGTTTCAAGACAATAGTAGACAGGTATATGAAGATTAGAGGGTTGAAATTATTTTCACATCCTCCTAACATAAAATACACTATATCAAATGCAAGGATTATTATCTCCCAAATCAAAAATTGGTCAGATATTGCTGTCCACAAGCTGGTTGCCGCATTTCATCCACAAAATACAGTCATTTCAACGATGTGATATGTTGCTATACCAAATGCAAGGAATATTATTAATTATTATTATTGAAAAGGTACAGAGGGAGAGCAGGGCAGTGAATGGACAGCTTGCACTGAGAGCTAGTACAGACTTGATAAGCCGAATGGCCTCCTGTGAAGTAAAATTATATTGGATTCTATAGGAGAGAGATTAGCTGGTGAGAGAAGCTGACAGATTTATGAATGGACTGTAATTTTATTGTGTAAAAATTCAGAATCATTATTTGATGAAAAAGTTTCAGTGACATTTTCTACAATTTACCATACAGTCAAAGGTGTACTATGATTTTCATGACTTGACATATTTAGCTCAAGGAATCTGTGATTTTTGAATCACAAAATGCCAATGTAACTTAAGGCTTCAACATTGTCTGGGAGACAAGGCTACTGCAAACCCTACTCCGTAGATCAGTTATAATAATAATAATCCTTGCATTTGATATAGTATATTATCACATCATTGAGACGTCTCAAAGCGCTTCACAAGATGTACTGTAAAGTGATCTCGACTGTATTTTGTGGGTGAAACCTGGCCAACCAATGTCACACAAACAGCCCTGGAGTGAGTGAGCAATTTTTTATTTGGGTATTTATTGGCCAGGTCATCATGAGAAACTCCCTTCTCTTTTCAAATAGTTCCATGGGATCTTTAACCTCTACCTGAACAGGCAGACTGGTCCCCAGGTTAACAACTCATCCGAAGAATGGCACTTCTGACAATGCAACATACCCCCAGCATTGCATTGGAATGTCAGCTTAGATGATGTGATTCTCAGTCACAAAGAGGGGCTTGAACCCATAATCTTCTGACTCAGAGGCGAGAGTGCTACCATTCAGCCAGACTGGCACACAGAAATGTTTGTCGTTAATGGCCCAGAGCCCACAGGATTCCATATGGCTTCTGTGAAGTGCAAGTCGCTCCCAGAGGTGCTGCACTATCGTCATTGGGATTTCTCCAGTAGAGACAACAAATAAGACTTTCCACTGACTTCAGAGCCACTGAATCACTGTCTTTTATCTGCCACTCATCTTGTTAGCATTCAGGACTTAAGATGTGAATGTCTTTGGCATGCTAGTAATATTAATACCTTCTGTTTTCAAATGGTGCGATGGTGTCTTTAATGTTCACCTGGACAACGGGTTAGTGCAGGAGTGAGATCAGTGTGAGAGTGCGGCAGTGAGACCTCTGGGAACACGTGGAGACGCCAAGACACGTGGAGACATTTTGAAGTGGAGACACCATTTCAAAATATCCTGTTTGAATTAACTCCCTGAGGGAAGTTATTTCCGCGTGCTAGTTTTTCAAAGTCTGGAACGGGTTTAGTATAGTTTATTTTGTTATCTCCTTCCCTATCTGTCCTCTCTCAATTCCTTCTAACTTTCTGTGAGATATTTTCCAGGTTGGGCAATCTGGTAAATAACATGATGAGTGTCCTCCCCCCTTCTCCCACCTCTGTGATGTCTCCTCTAGCATGCACTGTTCCCCATGCCTGCAGGCTAACTATGCCCGCTGATCACTTTTCCTCCATTCTTTGCATGCTTGTTTTGGCTGCCACCCCTGACCCGAGCTGCTTTCCCCCAAAATGCCCCCATCCACCACCCTCCATCCCTCCTGCTATGTCCTCCACACCCACCGTCCCCCTCGTCTCCTATCCCCATGTGACCGTCCCATAGCTTACCCTGCACCAGCCTGGGAATCCTCCATCGGGTTCACCGTGCACTGTCCAGCAGCAGCCATGCTGACTGCCCCTCCCCCATTATCACCACAAGGTCTACCAGCCTCAGACTCTGGAGGCAAACCTCTTCTCCCTCATCCATATTCCCACTCTCCTTGTCAATCCTCCACCGCCCCCTCTCGTCTCGCATAGTCCTCTGCCTTCCGCCCCTCCGCATCCCCCTACAAAATGTCCGCTCCCTCTCCAACAAAGTCCTCGCTGTTCCTAACCTCATTGTTGATGGAAACATTAACATCCTCACCCTCACCAGTATAATATAGGACTCATAATGCACGGGATCATCCCTTTCGCTCTACCATCAGCGGTCATGCATTCAGCCACTAAGATTCTGCCTCAATCCCTCATTTTAGGAAACTTCAACCTGCACTTCACTCCTTGCTCTATCTCCGCTGACTTCTCTTCCCTCCCAACCTCTCCCTCCACATCAACTCTGGTCACATTAATGGCCATCCTCAGCGTCTCAGACGGCACTATCACCAACAAAGCCATTTCGGACCACTAATTCATCTCCCTTAACTTCTCAATCCTTCTCCCCACTGCCACCCAATCCAGCTCCCATCTCCTACTGCCCCTGGGAAAAATCTCCGCCCACTACCTCTCCGCTGTATTGGAGTCATCTGAACTCCTCCCCCTCTGAGCTTCCTCCCGCAACAAGCTCTCCACCACTCTCTATGCCCTTGGTCCCTCTCACCTCCCATACACAGCTACCTTATTCTACTTTGTCTCCACAAATGGCTTCTCCTCCAGCCCTCATACAGTTTTGTGGGACATTCCTCAGAGCTCTGTCCTTGGTCATCTTTTCTTCAATATCTACATGCTCCCTCTTGGTGACATCATCCACAGACATGGGGTCAACTTCCACATGCATGGGGATGACACCCAACTCTATCTCTCTGCCTCTACCCATGACAACAGGACCCCTGATGTCCTGTCAGACATCAAGTCCTGAATGAGAGATAACTTTCTCCAGTTGAATGTCAATAAGACCAAGGCTCTCCTGATTGACTCCCATCCTCGGGCACTGGCAGCATTACCATTCATGAATGCACTCTACACCTTACTGAGCCAGTCTGGAACCTTGGCATCTTGTTTGACCCCACATCTTTCTACCCCACATCTGTGCCACAATCTGTTCTGCCTTCCCCCACCTCTGCAATATCATCCTGCTCTGTCACTGCCTCTCTCCTCAGGCCACCGAGACCCTCATCCACATTCATTACACCTAGGCTCGACTACGCTAACTCCCGGCTTATCAGCCTTCCCAATTCTTCCCTCCACAAGCTGCAGATCATTCAGAACTCCGCAGGTCATGTTCTCTCCTGCATCAGACTCCGTGACCTGATCACAAGCAGACAAAATCTTGGTTTTATGTCTCATCCGAATAACAGCATCACCGAAAACACAGCACACCCCCTGTACTGCATTGAAGTGTTAGCACAGAATATATGGGTTTCAAGTCCAGACATGGGGCTTGAACCCACAACTTTCTGACTCATAGCTGAGAGTGTTACCATTGAGTCAGGCTGACACACCTGATATTGGAGGTATGCCTGCCCTTCATTGTCACAGTAGAGGAAGAGGTAGAGAACTTGTATAGGATAAATATATATATATATAACACACACATACATACACTTAAAAGATCGGTAGCACTCAAAATAGAAAAGTCACCCGGTCGGAAGGGGATGCATCCTAGATTGCTGAGGGAGGATGCAGAGTTTTGGAGAGGGCACAGAAGGGAGTTACAAGAATGATACCACAGATGTGGGACTTCAATTATGTGGAGAGACTACAGAGACTGGGATTATTTTTCTTTGAGCAGAGAAGGTTAAGGGGAGATTTAATATGGGTGTTAAAAATCATGAGGGGTTTTGATAGAGTACACAGGGAGAAACTGTTTTCTCTAGCAGGTGGGTCAGCAACATCAACAAGATTACATTTGCATAGCGCCTTTCACGTCAGGAGGACGTCCCAAGCACTGGATAGTGTACAGCATTTCGAACCCGAGCTGGGGTCGGGGGGAAGAAGGGAGGGGAAAGGGGGTGGCCAATGGCATGGTTGAAGAGGAGGGTCTTGAGGCGGGACTTGAAGGAGGCTAAGGAGGGAGCGAGGCGGAGTGGTTGGGGGATGGAGTTTCAGAGGTTGGGGGCAGAGTGGCTGAAGGCTCTCCCACCAATGGTGGGGCAGGTGGTTCGGAGGACGTGGAGCAGGCCAGAGCCGGCTGAGCGGAGGGAGCAGGCGGGTTGGTAGGGGGAGGACTCGGGCTGCAGAGTTCTGGATTATCTGCAGCCTGTGAAGGGAGGAGTTTGGAAGACCGACAAGCAGGGTGTTTGCATATCGAGCCTGGAGGTGATGAAGGCATGAACAAGAGTTTCAGCAGCCTGAGGGGTGAGGTAGTGGCGGAGTCGGGCGATGTTATGGAGGTGAGGGAAGGCAGAGCGGGTCATGGCTTGGATGTGGGGAAGAAAAGACAGTTGAGGGTCGAACAAGACACCTAGGTTCCTGACTGATTTGGTGAGTTGAAGTGTGCAACATGGAGTTTGATGTTGCCAGAGAATGAGGTGTTGAGGCGCTGGGGTGAGCCAATCAGTCTTGTTCACATTCAACTGTAGGAAATTTGCCCTCACCCAGGACTTGGATGTCCGACAGGCAGTCTGTCAGGACAGCAGTGGTCCTGGAGTTGAGGGTGGAGGCAGAAAGATAGAGTTGGGTCTCATCCGCATACATATGGAAGTTGACCCCATGTCTGCGGATGATGTCACCAAGGGGGGGCATGCAGATGTTAAAGAGGAGAGGGCCAAGGACAGAGCCCTGGGGGACACCAGATGTGGCAGTGCAGGGGCTGGAAGAGAAACCGTTAGAGGCAACAAAGTGGAGACGGTGAGAGAGATAGGAATCGAACCAGGCAAGGGCAGGTCCACGAAGATTAAGTAAAGAGGAGAAGCGGTGTATGAGGATGGAGCAACCAGAGGACACAGATTTAAGATAATTGGCAAAAGAACCAGGGGGATTTTTTTCTATCCAGAATTGTTACAGTCTGGAATGCACTGCATGCAAGTGTGGTGAAATAGTAACTTCCAAAAGGGAATTGGATAGGTACTTGAAAAGGAAAAATTTGCAGAGCTACGGGGTAAGAATGGGGGAGTGGGACTAGTTGGTAGCTCTCTCAAAGGGCGAGTACAGGCACGATGGGCCAAATAGCCTCCTTCCATCCTGTAAGATTCTATGATTGAGTGACAACAGGTTTAGTGTTTGGCATGAGCCAGAAAGTATTTAGCAAAGAGAGACAAGAACATGTGCAACCTGAGAGCTAGCAAAGCAAGTATCCACAGCTAACAAGAAGGCAATAATATCTTAATAAAACCAAAATAAATGCATACAGAGATTTATCTCGGAATCCAGGAGTACTTGTGGCCCACTGCTTCATCTTGGAAATGCTGTCTTCACTTATAGACCTCAGGCCATCGATTGGCATGCAGTCAATGTACAGGTTGTATAACAGCAGAGCTTCAGTCTTCTGTCGCAGGAAGTGAGCCTTTGTCACTCGCTTCACAAATAGAGAGGGATCCTCTGCAAAGAACATCAGCCTGACCCGTGGTATCCAGTACTGATATGGTAACCCCAGCCTCTCTCCTGCACATAGAACATCACAGGAATAAGATAATCTCAGTGTAAAAAGTAACCTTCATAGAACCATTAACATAGTTATTTTCTTTTCACCAAATGAGTTATTTATTAACAGGCTTCCTTCAGAAACTTAGCTAAACAAGATGAATTCCACTAATCCAGTTTCTTTTTTTTCCTTTGAGATGTCTCAACGACGTGATAAGGTCCTATGTCAAATGCAAGGTTATTATTATTATTTCCTGAGCCAATCTCATTACGGTGGAGTCCTGTAGCTCAGTGGTTAGAGCGCTCGCTTTGCAAGTGAGAGACCTGAGTTCAATTCCAGGCAGAGTGAAACCTTGGGCAAGATTCCTTACTCCACACACAGCCCTAATAATAATCCCTCCAAAAAAACAAAACAATAATAAATTGGTCATTTTCAATCCATGACTGTTTGTGGGACATTGCTGTGCGCAATTGGGTGCCGCGTTCGCCCACAAATATACAGTCAATTCACTTTACAGTATATTCTGTGAAGCGCTTTGGGACGTCTAGAAGACGTGAAAAGCGCTATATCAAACGCAAGGATTATTATTATTATTATTAGATCTATGAACCACCATATTAACCAAAAAGATTTCCACACCAATCCCATTACCCTGCTCTTTCCACAAATTATTTTAGATTTTCATTCTTCAAGTATTTATCTGCAGCAACTTGCATTTATAGTTCCCTTCAAGTCAGATAGCGTCTCGGAGCACTTAATACCGGAGCCTGACGTTGAGCCTTGCAAAGCCTGGCGAGGACGGATGTGATGGGGGAGCGGAGCTTACAGCGCGAATACACAGACAGCAGAATTTTGGAGAATTGGATTTTGTGGATAGTCAATCTGGCAGGACCAGCAAGGACATTTGAATAGTCAAGACAGGAAGTGACAATGGTGTGGATGAGAGTGTCAGCTGTGTTGCGTGTGAGATCTACTTCAGTGGTCAAGTTTTAAGGTCCTCACCCTCACCAATAAATCCCTTTATGCCCTTTCACCTACCAATCTCTCTGACCTTCTCCTAACTCACCACTCTGCTTATCTTTGCAAGCAAGAGACCCGAGTTCAATTCCAGGCAGAGGGCGAAACCTTGGGCAAGTTTCCTTACTCCACACTCCTAATAATAATCCCTCCAAAACAAAACAATAATAAACAATAATCATTTTCAATCTATGACTGTTTGTGGGACATTGCTGTGCGCAATTGGCTGCTGCGTTCACCCACAAATATACAGTCAATTCACTTTACAGTATATTCTGCGAAGCGCTTTGAGACGTCTAGAAGACGTGAAAGGCGCTATATCAAATGCAAGGATTATTATTATTATTATCCCCTGCTTGGCTAACTCGGGCCAATTGGTGGCCGAGCTTCCAGATTCTACATCTGTAACCTTTGGTACTCGTTTCATCTGTCCCTTCATCTCCCCCTTTCCATCTGCCTTTAAGTCCCACTTAAAAAACAACCACACCTATGGCCACCTCTTCTTCCCCCCCTCTCACCTGCTCAGTGTAGAACATTACCGATGCTCCAAGGTGTTCTTCAACATGAAGGGCACTATGTAAATGGAAGTTGTTGATTTGCTATCGAATTCACTTTTAAAATTTTCTAATTAACTTGGCTTATTTGGCAACCTCTGATAAGATTCAAAGCCTAATAATTTTGTGTGCAAAAACATTTCTTCTAATCTCCCCCTTTTTACTTCCAGTAATGATAAGTGACATTAGGAAAATCATTACCCAGAATGGTGTCAGAATTATCAAGGTGTTTCACCAGAATCATTTAAATTAGATAGACACATTACAGTTAAAAGCAGAAATTCAGCTTAAAGGTTATGATGCAGTAGCCATTATAGAGACCTGGCTGCAAACTGGGCACACCTGTGAGCTAAATATTCCAGGCTATAAGATCTTTAGAAAGGACAGGGAAATTGGGAAAGGAGGAGTAGCAATATTGATAAGGGACACAATTATAGCAGTAGAAAGAAAGGATTTCAGTAAGGGTAATCAGGCTGTAGAAACACTATTGGTAGAATTAAGTAATAGGAAGGGAGGCAAGATACTGGTGGGAGTTGTCCACAGACATCCAGATAGCAGTGATGTAGCGGCGGGAGGAGGATATATAATTAGTGAGAGCAGGAAAGCATGCAGCAAAAGCAATGTGGTTGCAATGGGAGATTTTAATTTTCACATAGACTGGGAGAAGCAGAATAGCTAATGTAGGAAAGGCAACAAATTTCTAGAATGTATTCAGATCAGTTCTCTGGAACAATATATTAGAACCGTTGAGGGAACATGCCATACTAGATTTGGTGACGAGTAACGAACCAGAATTAGTTAACAATGACGGTAAGGAACATCTTGCAAATAGTGACCCTAATATGATTGAATTTGATATAAGGTTTGAGAGGGAGAAGAGAGTCATAAACCAAGATTTTAAATAAAGCAAACTTTGAAGGGATGAGAAATGAATTCACTACGGTAAACTGGGCTGTTAACGGGTAAAAAAAAACATGGACATACAGTGTCCATAATCAAGGAAGAATTTTGTACAATGCAAAACCAGTACATACCCCTAAAACACAAAAGCTCCACTTGTGTAGTTCAACAACCATGATCGACAAATGAGGTAAGAAGCAGCATCAAAACTAAAACAAAAGTTTTACACTAATGTAGAACTGTGAAAAGGCAAAGGAATTTGGGTGTTCATGTATACAAATCACTAAAAACAAGCTCGCGGGTACAAAAAGTTATCAAAAAAGCTGATGGGATGTTGGCTTTATCCCATGTGACTGGAATATAAAGGAGAGAAAATTGTGCTTCAACTATATAGAGCCTTGGTTGGACCCATCTGCAGTGCTAGTTCAGTTTTGGGTACTGCACCTCAGGAAGGATATATTGGCTCTGGAGAGCCTTGGTGTCTTAGTGAATCTTAGTGCAGATTCACCAGAATGATAACAGGGCTTTATGGGTTAAATTATGAGGACAGGTTGCATAAACTTGGGTTTAGAAGGTTGAGGGGTGATCTGATTCCGCTTTTTAAAATAATAAAGGGATTCAACTTCCACATGTATGCGGATGACACCCAAATCTACTTGTCCTCCTCCAGGTGTGACTCCCAGTCTACTGATGTCCTGTCAGCTTATTTGATGGACATCATAGATTCATAGAGTCATAGAATGTTATGGCACAGAAGGAGGCCATTCGGCCCATCGAGTCTGTGCCGGCTCTTTGACAGAGCAAGTCAATTTCACTAACCCCAATCACCAGCTTTCTTCCCATAACCCTGCAAACCCGTCTTCCCCAGATACCTATTCAGTTCTCTCTTAAAAGCTGTTATCGAATCGGACTTCACTACCCTTTCAGGCAGATCATTCCAAATTCAAACAGCTCGCTGAGTGAAAACATTTCTTCTAACCTCCCCTCTGCTTCTTTTGGTAGATATCTTAAGTCTGTGACCACGGGTCACAGACACACCTACCAGCGGAAACAGCTTTTCCTTATCTAGCCTGTCGAAACCTTTCATAATAATAATAATAATCCTTGCATTTGATATAGCGCTTTTCACGTCGGGAGGACATCCCAAAGCGCTTCACAGAACACACTGTAAAGTGAATTGACTGTATATTTGTGGGCGAACGCGGCAGCCAATTGTGCACAGCAATGTCCCCAAAACAGTCGTAGATTGAAAATGACCAATTTATTATTTTTTTTTGTTTTTGGAGGGATTATTATTAGGTGTGTGGAGTAAGGAAACTTGCCCAAGGTTTCGCCCTGCCTGGAATTGAACTCAGGTCTCTCGCTTGCAAAGCGAGTGCTCTTAACCACTGAGCTACAGGACTCCAAGATCTTCATGATCTTGAAGACCTCTATCAGGTCCCGGCGTAACCTTCTCTGCTCTAATGGGAAAAGTCATAACTTCTCCAGCCTGTCCTCATATCTAAGGTTCCCCATTCCTGGTATCATTCTCGTGAATCTCCTCTGCACCCATTCCAGTGCCTTAATGTCCTTCCTGAAGTAAGGTGCCCAGAACTGGACGCAGTACTCCAGCTGAGGCCTAACCAATGTTTTGGACGGATTAACCATAACCTCCCTACTCTTATGCTCTCTGCCCCTACTAATAAAGCTCAGTACCCCAAATGCCTTTTTTACTGCCTTATCTACCTGCCCCGCTATCTTTAATGATTCGCTTACTTGAACACCCAGATCTCTCTGTACGTTCACCCCCCTTAAGATTGAGCTACCAAGTCTATATTGCCATCCATCATTTTTCCTACCTAAGTGTATCACCTCACACTTACCCACATTGAAATCCATCTGCCACATGTCAGCCCATTCCGCCATTCTGTGCATGTCTGCTTGAAGTTGGTTATAGATCTCCTCACTATTTACTACCCTACCTAACTTTGTATCATCTGCAGACTTGGAAATAGTGCTCTCTATGTCCAAGTCCAGATCATTAATATATATTAGAAAGAGCAGTGGTCCCAATACCGATCCCTGGGGGACACTGCTGCACACCTCCTTCCATTTTGAGAAACACCCATTAACCACCACCCTCTGCTTTCTGTCACTCAGCCAGTTCTTAATCCAAACTGCCACTATCCCCTTAATACCATGAGCCTCAAATTTTTTTATTAATCTCTTATGCGGTTCTGTGTCAAAAGCCTTTTTGAAATCCATGTAAATAACGTCCACCGCATTTCCCTCATCAACCCTCACCTCTTCAAAAATCAAGGTCTGGATGAGCGCAAATTTCCTGCAGCTGAATGTCAGCAAGACGGTAGCCATACTCGTCTGCTCCTGTCGTAAGATTATATTTGTGATGATTAATGTTTTTAAGATTTTTAATTAGCATACTTTTAAAATATATTTACAATCTGTTTAGTATTGCATTCCTTACTTATTAAGCACAGACAAGGCTGTGTGTTTTTAATGACTAACTTGGGGCCCCTAAGAATTATATTGACTTGACCTCAGCTGAGGTCAGGTTCTGATAACTTTCCCTCTCAGTGCCTGGATCCCACTGTCATCCTCCCATCTAAGAATTGAGTAATCATGTCCTTGAGCACAGATGTGAAAACAAGGAGGCTCAGAGAGAGAAGTGCACTCCTTGTCATGTGATTAGCTCAAGAATAAGAAACAGGAATGCTACCAATTAGCTGTCCATATCCCTTTCTCCTTATCAGTTATTTTCCCATGCGAAAAGACCCTGCTCAGAGATCGCAAGAAGCCTGCAAAGGGGGGGGGTTATCTCTGTGACAAGGGGTGGCGGAGTTAGAAACACATAAAAGAAAGGTGTAATTTTCAAATAGTTGGAGTTGTGTAGAGGGTCAGCACACTTCTCAGTGGAATCGATATCGATTATACTGTATCTACGGTCTCAGTTATAAGAATAAGTTAAGCTATTTGTATTACTTAATAAACCTTGGATTATTACAAAGCCATATTGGTCGTCTCCATCCGAATCTCTTACACATTCAACGTCTTCTCTCCTGCAGGTCTGAACTACTCAACCTCCCCAGACTCTACCTCAGACTAACTGAGCCTGTGCACAACTTAGGCGTCAGGTTCAATCCCCAGCTTTCCTTTCTACCCCACATATGTTCCTTGACCAGGACTGCTTTTTTCCACCACCATCATATTGCCCGCCTCCGTCCATATCTCGCACAAAAGCAGCCGAAATCCTCATCCACTCCTTCGTCACTTCCCGGCTGGACTATTTCAATGCCCTCCTCGTTGGTCTCCCGAGTTCCACAGTAGACAAAATACAACTAATTCAGAACTCTGCCGCCTGGATCCTCACCCAAACCTGCACAAAACTCCATATCCCCATCACATCAGTCCTTTCCACTGGCTCCCGATTACTGAATGGATTAATTTCAAGATCTTCTCACTTATTTTCAAATCTCTTCATGCCCTCGCACCTCCCTACCTATCTGATATGCTTACCCCACCACTCTCCCACCCAGATGGCTCCAGCCTCCTGTTCATCCCTCATCCCCTCCACCATCGGTGGCTGTGCCTTCAGTCATTAAGCCCCAAAACTCTGGAACTCTCTTCCTCAATCCCTCTTCCTTGCCCCCACCCTCCCGAATTTAAAATCCTGCCTAAAGACCTTCCTTTTTGATCGCGCTTATGGTCACCTCCCACCTCCATTTCTCCCTGGCTCAGGGTCAGACTCCACCACTGTCAAACATTCCGGGACGCTACCCCGCGTGAAGGGCGCTATATAAATAAATGCAAGTTTTCATTGATTCCCTTCCCAAAGACACTTGTTTTTCACCATCCATCACCTCCTCCGTGCACCCACTCAAAGCTCCCTCTATTCTCACATCAAACGCTATTATCACACACACCCCTCAAAAAACCACCTTTGATCCTTCTAATCTCTCATACTACTGTCCCATTTCCAACCTCCATTATTTGAAACCAGTTATCACAATCAGTTGTTGGATATTGTTGTATCTGGTTCATTGTTGTGCTTATTTGAATCAAATAAATAAAGAGTAAAGTAGAAATACATACATCTGTTTTTAGTTAATAATTTGCACTCGTGGAGTTAGGAGTTAATACAGACATAATTTTTATATAATTCAGTTTTTACTCTGGGCATTTAAACTGACTGTGGCTCGGTACTGTATGCCTCATATCCATTAATTGGAATATACTTACCATTTTCCATTATCCCTCCATTCAGCACTGGTTGGTTTTCTGTGTCACGGACTAAGCCATAGTTGTCTGTTTTTTGTACCAGATAGAGTTTCTTTTCCTTGTCATAATCCAGCACTCCAACAACATACCACTTGTAGAGAAGATCATCATTCTTGGGATCATCTGGAGTTTAAACAAGATATCTTTGTTATTATAAAGAAGCCAATGAAGTGCTGCAGAACGAAGACGTACTGACATCCTTATCAGCATGTTAGAGAGAGTAAGACAGTAAACAGCTTATTGCAGAAACACATGGACGGTTCATTTATGGGAAATCAGAAAATACATACGATTCTTTTTAAAAAGGAGCTTGCAGGGACATAGGACAGGTTTGATTTTAGTTTATACCTCTCCCCTTTTATATTGTTTATTTTTGCAGTTTTCTCCATTACTATTAATCATCAGCACAGATAGCAATAAGGAGGGGAGGTAGAGGAGGGTGATGGAGGGAGGAGAAGCCTTTGGAAAGACAAGAGTGAAACCAAGATAGGGCAGAACCATGAAGGTGAAGGATGGTGGAAAAGGATGGAATGGCCGACAGTGTTGATTCCATCAGCAGTGCTGCGTTCAGTTTTGGGCACCGCACCTCAGGAAGGATATATTGGCTCTGGAGGGTTTGCAGTGCAGATTCACCAGAATTATACCAGATCTAAAAGGGTTAGATTACGAGGATAGTTACATAAACTTGGTCTGTGTTTGCTTGAGCTTAGAAGTGTTGAAGTATAGAGAGTTCTAGTCTCGGATAGAGAAAACGTCATTGATGACTTTCATCAGGGTAGTCTCGGTATTGCAGGCAGTGCAGAAACTGGGTTGGAAGGAGTGCAGATAGAGGAAAGAGTGAAACTGGGAAGTAATAATTTGTTCCAGTACCTTTAACATGGCTGAGTGACAGAAAGCAGGAAGGTGGTCAATGGGTTTTTCTCGAAATGGAAGGAGGTGTGCAGCAGTGTCCGCCAGGGATCGGTATTGGGACCACTGCTCTTTCTAATATATATTAATGATCTGGACTTGGGCATAGAGAGCACTATTTCCAAGTTTGCAGATGATACAAAGTGAGGTAGGGTAGTAAATAGTGAGGAGGACTGTAACCAACTGCAAGCAGACATACACAGAATGGCGGAATGGGCTGACATGTGGCAGATGGACTTCAATGTGGATAAGTGTGAGGAGATAAGATAGGAAAAATGATAGGAGGCAATATAGACTTGGTAGCTCAATCTTAAGGGGGGTGAACGTACAGAGAGATCTGGGTGTTCAAGTAAGCGAATCATTAAAGGTAGCGGGGCAGTAAAAAAGGCATTTGGTGTACTGAGCTTTATTAGTAGGGGCATAGAGTATAAGAGTAGGGAGGTTATGGTTAATCTATACAAAAAAAAAAGCCTCAGCTGGAGCACTGCGTCCAGTTCTGGGTACCTTACTTCTGGAAGGACATTAAGGCACTGGGGTAACTCCTGGAGTCTAACCAGCTAAAACTGCATAGTTTGCCATTGATAGCACTGTCTGGCCATCTTTCCTGCTATTTGTCCATCTAAGACTACCCTACCAGTTAGGGCTTTGGCTCGCATAGCTAACAGGAGCTGAGATGGAGGATTCCCTGGCGAATAAAATGTTGGCCTTTATGTTGGCAGGATGTCTGTACTGTACTGGGACCGCAGCTATTCGCCATATATATATATATATATATATAAATGACTTGGATGAAGGAATAGAAAGTTTTATATCCAAGTTTGCAGACGACACTAAGCTAGGGGGCTCAGTAAGTTGTATAAATAATAATAATAATAATCCTTGCATTTGATAAGGCGCTTTTCACATCGGGAGGACGTCCCAAAGCGCTTCACAGAACACACTGTAAAGTGAATTGACTGTATATTTGTGGGCGAACGCGGCAGCCAATTGCGCACAGCAATGTCCCACAAACAGTCGGAGATTGAAAATGACCAATTTATTATTGTTTTTGGTTTTGGAGGGATTATTATTAGGCGTGTGGAGTAAGGAAACTTGCCCAAAGTTTCGCCCTGCCTGGAATTGAACTCAGGTCTCTCGTATAGATGGAAGTAGGAAGCTCCAATGGGACTTAGACAGATTAAGTGAGTGGGCAAAGTTGTGGCAGATCGAGTTCAATATAGGGAAGCGTGAGGTCATCCACTACAGACCAAAAAAAATAAAGCAGAATATTTTCTTAATGGGGAGAAATTAAGAACTGTGAGCAAAGAGATTTGGGTGTCCATATCCACAAATCACTAAAAACTAATTTCTAGGTGCAAAACGTAATCAAAAAGGTGAATGGAATGTTGGCATTTATCTCCAGGAACCTGGAATACAAAGGGGAAGATATAATGCTTCAGCTGTATAAAGCGTTAGTCAGACCCCATGGAGTACTGCGTTCAGTTTTGGGCACACCTCAGGAAAGATATATTGGCCCTGGAGGGGTGCACTCAGGTTTACCAGAATGTTACCAGGCCTAAAAGGGCTAAATTATGAGGAAAAGCTGCGTAAACTTGGATTGTATTCCCTTGAGTTTAGAAGATTGAGGGTGATTTGATTGAGGTATTTAAGATGATAAAGGGATTCGATAGGATAGATACAGAGAAGCTATTTCCTCTGGTGAGGGAATGCAAAACAAGGGGGCATAGTCCTAAAATTAGAACCAGGCCATTTAAGAGAGAAATCAGGAAGCATTTTTTCCACTTAAAGGGTGGTAGAAATCTAGAATTCTCTCCACAAAAGGCTGTGGCGGAGCGCTTATTGATGGCGGAGCACGAGGCCGAGCCAGGGGGAGGGGGAAGGTGACCTTAGGCGCGGTCGAAGAGCAAGGTCTTCAGGAGCGACCTGAAGATGGGCAAGGAGGGAGCGAGGCGAAGGGGTTGAGGGAGAGAGATGTATTGTACCATGTCCTAACTCGTCTTCTTTAGGGAGAAGTGCTTTTCCTGGCACAGGTTTTCTGATTGTAGATCCTTCCTCATAGCCAAGTGATAACCATTCTGCTGGTGTTCGACAATCAAATTCTTCATCATCAAACACCTGTATCAAAAGCAAAATCCAAGAACAATTACATCAACAGTAACATTTCATCAGATATTTTCTGAATTTAACACTGTTGAGATTTGAGACCTTTCCAGACTCCTCAAAAGTATCAAGGAGACTAAACTGTTTGAGGGCTTTTAGATTAGTCAAAAAGTCATCTCCCTGTTTGGTCTGGAAGCATATCAGTGAGACACAAGGATCTATACATTGCTCAATCAGTTGTCTCATTGCTTTCAACTCCTTCTGTAATCTTTCAAATTCAGAAGTAACCATGTCCCAATCTTTCTTCAAAATTTGACTCTTTAACACCTTTCTTAGTTTCACCTTTACAATCCTTCTGTATTGGTGTTTTTGTCATTGGATTTGAGATTAAGTGTTTAACCTTGCCCCTTCTTTTATCCGAATTAATTTGTCCTGTTTTGGCTTTTAAACCTTGCAATGAACCCTTGTTCTCCTGCACTTTTTCAGTGTTTTCCTCCACTAAGGCTGCTACTTGTGCTTTAAGTCTGTCCACTTCTTCACCTTTCTCATGTTTAGAACTGGAGGTTTTACTGATTTGAAGACCGCCTGCTGGAGGGTTAATAAGGCAATCAATCTATCCAATTTTTGGTCCGTGGGTGAAGGTTTAGAGGTAATGTAGGGGAAATTTTCAATTTGGTTAGATCCCGGTTGTAGCTCGCTCGAACAATCACAAACAAAGTGGCTTCTACCTCCACCTTTATAGCATTCACTAGAGGCATTACTCCAATTACTACCCCTTCCTCCTGTTACTGCCCACACAAAAGCCTGTTTCTCAGTCATTTGTTCCCTGCAAACCTGATGGTCTACCTGCCGTCCAGCTTCTCCTGCCTTAATCGCCACCCGGCAGGCACCTTTCAATTTTCACCCTTCAATCGCTCCACCTCCTTCTTTAACACTTTCATCTTCTTTCTTGCTTCATCTAACTCTTTTTGTTCCTGTAAGCCCATGTTAATCAACATTGCTTGACTTCCCACCATACTACTTAGCTCTGCAACTCACTGGTCTCTTTGTACCTCTTCATTCTGTGTATCTTTCCGATCCCACTCTTCCTTCTCTGCGTACCATTCTCCCTTCATTTTATCACACCGCTCCTCCAGCTCTGCTACCTTCTCCTCTAATATCTTACGCTCTTCCGCTTCTTTTACTTGGGCTTCTTTAAGTGTCACAAGTTAACCGACTAACCCTTGTCGAAATAACCCTCTCAGTTTACCGATAGCCTTCACATTTTTAACCTCTCCTGCCACAAACTTATTCCTGAGCCATTCCTCTACCTGTACCTCAGACTCGAACTGGTGCTCTGCATGATTTCTAATGTCTCTTACTGCGCATCCGAACCATCCCTCGGCAAACTTATCCTTTTTTTGTTCATTCTGTCTACTGTGTTTCTGGAATTCTTCCCTATCTTCCGCGCTGCCTGCGCTACTACTGGAGGTTGCGGGTTCCTCATCTTCCCCTTCAACCCCCTGGCTCCTTGTACGCATTGGGTGAACCCGGCTCTGAGTAGTAGTGATGACCACTACTGACTTTCCTGATTCTTCCTCACACATATCCGACTATATTTTATCTACTTTATCTATGGCTGTTTTGACATTTCGATTATCCCCATCATTCCCTCTGTCGTGATGGCGCACACCATCGCCTGCTTGCCCATCAGCATCTCCTTCAATTTCTCTATTTCTCTCTCACACTGAGTGTGGTCTGTCTCAGTGGCTAATGGACGGTTAATTAAGGTGTTAACTGCTCCCTTAGCCACATTCAACTGGATGCTCATAACCTCACACTTCTTCTGACTATCCTGCAGCGCTATTCTCCTTTTTCATGCTGTTCTCTCTCTATCCTAGCTCGGCTTATTTCTCCCTGTTGTATATGTAGAGTGGAAGTCAGTTCCACTGTCTTTCTCTCCTGGTTCTCACACACATCTTCCATCCTGAATAATTCCTCCTCCAACTCTGCTTTCCCCATGCTCCTTTTCAGGCCTTGCTGCATTTCAAACAGACCTTCCATAAGCTGAGTTATTCTTTTATCTTTCCTCTCTAATAATTCCTTTATTTCTGTGTCTTTCTCTTTTGTTAATTCCTTTATTGCTTCATTCAGTTTTGTTATTTCTGCTTCTTTCTCTTCTATTATTTTTTTTAAGCTCTGGGGCTTTTCCATTTAAATTCCCGCAGCACCCAGTACTTAAAAAACCTCTTACATCTCTTTCCAACTGATTTGATGTTTCCCGCTGCTGCTTCTTCCTCCAACCATTCTATTCCATCTTTCTGGCTGGCTCTTTCCCTCTTTACTAAAGTATTTTCTAACTTCAGGCCTGTATCCTTACAAATCTTCTCTTCGTATTTGCTTAACCATTTGTGAAATTTTTCCCTTAACCTCTGTTCTTTTGCTTCTGCCATCTCCCTAATATATCTACCTAGGTCCTTGGTTCCACACACCGTGTTCTCGCCTGACACTCCTCTCTTATCTTTTTGTCACAAGTTTTCTAACCCGCCAAACCCCGGATTCCAAATCCACAAATAAGGATTCAAAGAACTGCATTACTGCCATATGTGGTTCACTAACCTAACTACGTATAGGTACATTAGCTGTCACGTCCAATAGTAAACCTTATCACTTGTCAGGTCCCTTCGTGGTCGCCAATTTGTTGGGATTTCCAATCCCAAGAGTTCAAAATACGACCCGACAATCCAAATTGGTGCAATATGGTTTATTAGAAAACAGTGACATTTAACAAGATGTATATAAAAAGGTATACTACCAATAACTACCAACTGCCAAGAAGGCTGAAGAAAAGTTCTTCAGACACGACCCAGCATGGTCCCGATCTCACCGTGCGGCTCCCCCCTGCCAGCTGGAACTGACCCAACTCTCAAACCCCAGGCCAGTTATACTCTTTTTGACCCTGCTCTGCACGTACTCATCCAAATCAACCATTGGCCTGGCGCTAGCCTGACCGGTGTTGATAAGGTGAGTCTCCATTGTCTTGTCTATAATGATGTTATTTAGGACTGGCCTTGGGACCTTCTTTGAGCAGTTTATCCTTCTTAATTGGGAAGTCTACTCCTTATCTTCCTCGGCCTGGCACATGATATTTTGCAGACCTTTTTCCCTCCAGTTCTAGCTGGTACCCAAGGTTACAATATCACTCAGGAATGTGCTTCTGGAGTCGAGGAAGATAAGGGGTCCTGAGAGTTGAAGACTGGGTCGGATTCCTTTCTATTAATTAAAATCACATTTACCTTATACATGCATTGGTTATTATATTCATTAGGTTAGTACAGGTTCTTAATATGGTTACAAAGTGCGGTGGTACATCATATTCCAATACTCTGATATTCATGTATGCACCCTTCATATCAACTCCACCACCCACCACCGAAGCCACCCATGAGTTTCAGTGTCACCCATGGCCTTGACATCTCTGAGCTCCCCATCACAGACACAGCCATATCTGGCCATTTCCTCATCTCCCTCTCCTCTCACATCCCCCTTCCCTCCACCATCTCTTTCCACCCCCGGAAAAAGCTTCCCCATTAGATCCTTACAAACGGCCTTTCATCCTCAGACCTTTCCATCCGGAGTTATTTCGATGTTGCCATCAAGCTGCTAAACAGACGTCTCTCATTTATTTTCATTCCTCTCCCCCCTGAAATCCAGGACAATCTCCCACCACACCCACTCCCCCATATCACAGAACCTCCACTCCCTTAAACCCTAAACCCAGTGCTTGAGTGCAGCTGGCACAAAACTAGCCTCACCGCTAGATGTGGCTCGAACACCTTCAAATCTCCCGCTTCTCGCTCACATAGGCCCAAACCACCTTTTCCTTCCAGACTATCCTCTAGACCCAAATAGTCTCAAGCTCCTGTTCTTCACCGCATATCACCTCCTCCACTTACCCCTTTAAGATCTCTCGATCCTCACCTCCAATGCCAAATTCAAGTCATGGACATTTTTGTATCTAAAATAGACAATATCCACTTGGCTGCCTCTTCTTCCTCACCAGTCCCCCCCCCCCTATATCTTCTACATCCCTCACATCTTCTGCTACGGTTTCCACTACTGCCCTCACCCTACAGTCCCCCCTCAAAACTGCTGTCATCATGGCCCCTTCTCAAAAAAACTCACCCTTTTCTCTCGTCTTTTTCTTACAACCATCATTATCCATATGAAACCCACACCTGCTGACTTGCCCCCTCTCCACCAAACTGCTGACCATCCAACTATACCTCCTCTGGCCCCTGCCTGTAGGCACATGACCTGTCCCTCTCCTCAAGAACCATACTGCTCCCCCTCAAAACTCCTGTCAACACGCCCCTCCTCAAAAAACTCACCCTTGATCTTTTACACTTCACAAACTACCGGCCCATCTCAAAGTTGCCCTTGATTTCCAAATCCCTGGAATGCATTATTGTCAACTAACGTCACTCACACCTTTCCCTACACTCCATACACGAGCCCCTTCAGTTCGCCCATAGCATGACAGTCTTCATCAAAGTCCTGAATTTCATCCTCTCTCTCTGCCTCGTTCTCCTGGATCTCTCCACTGCCTTCAAAACAGCTCACTATGCCAACCTTCTCAACCCTCTCTGCTCCCTTATCCACCTCAGTGGCACTCTTCTAGTTTGAGTTTGACCCACAACCCATCATTTCGCCCCAGCAAATGGGTTCTTTTCCCACCCTACATGGTCACCTGCGGCATATCCCAACGTTCCATCCTTGGCCACCCCTCCTTTTTCTCATTTACATGTTGGCCCTCAGCGCTGTCACCCACAAACATAGGGTCAACTTTGACAGAATCACACAGCACAGAAGGAAGCCATTTGGCCCATTCGTTGAGTGAAAATATTTCTCCTCACCTCCCGTTTCCTTTAACAACTATTTTAAATCTGTATCCTCAAGTTACCGACCCACCCGCCATTGCAAAGTTTCTCCTTGTTTACCATAACAAATTCCCTCATAACTTTGAAAACTTCTAT